CTCCCGTGTCAAAGGGTCCAAGTCCCCGTCCAAACTTGGACTCTAATCCCCCACTCCAGAGTCCCGGACTCAGTGTGGTACTTAGACCACCATCCCCACCTCCAATCAAAAGGTCTGGAAAGAGCCAGAACATACGACAAGAGAGCAACGAGCCTTCCCACTCCTATAAGCAAGTATGTGCTCATGATAATAAGTTTATGACCTGACTACCATCCACAACAATGGACGGTTCTTAACCGACATGGATAGAGAAAAACAGTATAATAATAATAATCATGAGAGTAATAATAATCATCTATTGTGAGTAACGGCCAATATCTCTACCCGGTCTCCATTTCCTTTCGTTATTTTATCATGAGAATAATAATAATAATCATCTATTGTGAGTAACGGCAGGTTACTCACGCTACCGATAGCCTAAGCATAGCAGCTTCTCGACCTATGCTAGTAGGACTCATAGGTAGATTTATCTATGCATGTAGTTTCAATATAAATTATGTAACGTAAATGCACATCACATATATATATCCAGTGATTATTTAAAATAAGGGTTATGCACCGAGGCTTGCCTTGGGCAGATGGATTGTCAGCTATGTCAGTCGTCGGTGGCTGTGGGGCTTCCTCCTATACGAGAATCACCTCCTCGTACTTCTTGATCACCTCCTCGTACTCCTGCTCTCCGACGGTCATGAACTCCACCAACTCGTTCTCTACATGCATGAAATGATGATGCAACACTTAATATTTTGGCAACAACAACTCTTAAAATAAGAATACACATGCTAAGCTACTAAGCTAGCTCTAATTACTAAGATACTAAGTTAATCATTATCTCTACCAAATAGATTTCAAGCTCACCCTACAAGTGCTTAACTTTTATAAACCAATATCATGCCATTATTTCTTTAGCCTTAAGGGGTATTTAGCTACCATATTAAGTAGTCTATTCTAGGGCTACAAAAATTATAGTGAACACCTAATAATACAATAAAACTACTATAAAAATTTCAGGGTTAAAGCTATCACATATTTACCACAATAATTCCTACAAATATTATCATAATAATTTTAAATGCTTTCAATTGATTTAATATATCTCAGCATCATCACAGATAGGCATAAACTAATCACACCAACAGATAGATCATATTTTTAGAAACCTAACAAAATTGGTTTCACGATTTTTTGACATTCATACGAATTTATATTAAATATACAAATCTAACTCAGAGTTGAAATAGAAAAGCTTTACTAATTCGGCTAGAAAAAGAAAAAGACCAAAACAGCCCAACGCAGCCCAACTCGGGCTTGGCCCACACGCGAAGACGGCCCACGCGGGGAGCCCACACGCGCGCTGACGCTTTTGCAGAAAAGCCCTTGGCTTTTGGACAAACAACCTATGGTCCACGCTACTATTCCTAAAGACATCATTTATGCACAAAAGCCCTTGCACTCTCTCTTCTTTACAACGGCATGGTCCCTGGCCTCTCCCGCGCGGTCTAGCGCGGCGAGCGGTGGCACTGGTGATAGCGCCGGCCACACGAGACCCATGCTAACCTAGATAAGAGGCTGAATCTCACCAAGGGGTTGACGCGAGGCAATGGCACAGCAGTTGCACAAGCTGGGACGCCGTAGAAGGACCTCTCCACGACGGCAGGCACCCTACGGCAACGGCGACGACATTCTGGTGAACCGTAGTAATAACAAGGCAGTAGGAATAGCAGGTGAGGAACGACAATTCACCAGTGACCTAACCGAGGTGCCGGCTTAGCCGTAGATGACCCGAGCGAGGCTGGCCACGTGCGCGCTGCGAGGTGAACGACGGACCACAAAGGCACGGACGTGTCAGCGGCGAGGAGGTGGCACTAGAGTTGTGACTAGCATGTGCACAGCGTAGAGGGGCTCAAGGTGAAGCTATTGGTGCAGCCAATTTGACTCGGGACTAAGTGGGAAGGACTGACCATGGCGTGGGTGGTGACGGGTCTTAACGGCACGGTGGTGGGGCGAAGCTCCAAAATTGGAGCTCGGCTGGGCGCCAATTAGGGCGGGGTGAGGACAGCCGGCTAGGCGGCTTGATGGCGGCGCTAGAGACACCACGACACGACCCGAGATGACCTCTCTCTACCGCACTTAAAGTCGTGGCTCAGTCGGCCATGGTGGGAAAGAGAAGAGAGGGGAGGGGAATACTGGAACTCGATGCGACGTCAGCTTGGCGGGACGCGACCGACGCGACCAGGGCGACACGCGCTCTAGCGCCAAAGCCAAAACATGCGTGTGCAGACGGTGGGGTAGCACGGCGTGAGTGTGGTCGTAGCTCCATTAATGACGGAGCGTCGCGCATGGCAACAGGGAAGGAGAGGCAAGCCCACATGCGCAATGCGATGGGGGAGGGTCACAGCAGCACAGTAGTGCGAGGCAGAGGCAGTGCAGCAGCGGCAGGGGAGCAGCGTGCAGAGCGACAGCGGCAGCGGGGCACCGTGGCCCGCGGCTGACCGGCAGCAGGTGCTGCGGTCAGAGCGGCCAAGGCAAAACCGAGCCACGGCTAGGCCGAGACGACCTCGGCTGGCCAACGCGCGGCAATGCGTGTGCACGTGGTGCACCCAAGCACGACGACGCTGAGTTCCCGCACGAGGTGACCGCGCGCACAGGGATAGCCATCCCGAGACATGCGACGTGCATAAATTTTAAAGCACTGATCACGACCAAAACGTTGCTCCTAAATCTAAACCGGCTTCACTACACTCAAGATGGCATATGGAACTACTAAATCGAATCATAGCACTACACCACTTCTCTACCCAATCTCTCTAAATAAATTGCTAAACATAGCCGCGTCTAATTGTCCACGAGCTTAGAAATTTTCTAGGTGTTTAAACTAATCTTAATTTCAGATTGCATTTCTAAGCTACTGAAAATATTACTTAGCAATATTCTTTTTCAATACAATTATTTTATTGTCATCTACAAAGTTTGTACTTTAAACTTTATTTAAGTATCGCACACATATTTTATAGTATTTTTGCTTAATAAAAATTGATTTTAAACCCTACTTGTTAACTGTACGAATCGTGGAGCAACTTTCGTTTCGTGTTTTTATTGATCGTTTTAGTTGCAATGCATTATCTACTCACTTCACCACATGCATTAACACACAAGTATGATGTTCATGACATGTTTTAGTAAACGATTTAGGTTGTAACACCGCCGCCCTGCTCACGCATTTGCCGCAACTCGCTTTCGGCGTCGTCGCCGCCGCTTCGCGTCTTTGCACGCGCAACTTGGCATCGGCGCCTCGGCGGCGTGTGGGCGTGGCACGCGTCGCTCGAGGAGCAGCCGTGAGCTCGCGGGTCGGCGGCGACATGCTCGCCTTACTGCGTCTCGGTAGACGCATCCCGGTGACGCCATAGCAGCCCCATGTGCGAGCTTGGCTGGCCCCACGGCATGTACGCCCGACAGCCTTGGCGCGCTCGGCGTGGTGCCGCGGCTGGTCCACGTGCTCTGGGTCGGGTCCATTGGCGCGCAGCAGGCTGCTAGGACCGCGAGCCCTGGATCAACTCCGGCGGCGGCGGCGGCGGCAGCGGCACTGTTCGGCACAACACGGACGCAACACCAGCACAACGACGACACAGCACCACGACGGCCCCGGGACCACCGAGAGGAGTGGAGGCCAGCGCCGCCTCGTCGCTCACGCCGGGACCGCCTTTCGCGAGGGGTGCCGCGCTGCTGCGAGAGGTGAGGCCGGCCAGGCCCACGTCGGGGAGGAGCGGCGCCCGCCTTTGCTGCAAGGCGGAGAGAGGACGCGTCGGGGGAGTGGCCGTGAGGATGGAGAGGGAGGGGTTGAGTCGATGACGCGTGGGCCCCACATGTCACTGAGATGGAGGTTACGTGTCAAAACCGCTCCACGTTAAACAAAACAGTCTCACCCGCGCCCAGGTGCTAAAGTGGACGGTTTTTACAGTTGGGGTACTGGTACTAAACGGTTTTATAGTTGAGGATTAAAATTAGACCAACACAATAGTTGAGGAGCCAAAAGTGGACTTAATCCTCTATTAGACTTGTCGTAACCTCTACTCTAAGCAATCCACTAGAAGAGTAAAACAAGCTGGGTAACCAGGGCAGTCTACAAAGCGTGCAACATACGAGTTACTGCTGGTGACACAAAACCAATCTCCTATCTGATCTGATCTCGTTTAGGCCCTGTTTGTTTCTACGATGCCGTATCGCGCGTTCGCGTGCGGCTCCAAGGCCGCGTTTTGGGAATCGCCGAGCCGCGTTCATTTTCTGCTGCGAAACGCGCGAGCGCCGCAGACCGTTCGGCGGGATTATCTCGCGTTTTCCGCACATCTCGGTCGCCAACGCGCTTATGGCCCTTAGACATGTGCTGGCTTGCATGTGTTAGCGTGTATGCATCTACTCAAATCCATACACCGTACTAGGAGTATACGGTATATCGTCTGTTCAACTGGCAGCTGTACGCCTGAAAGAACCCACAAAACTGTTTGTCACTGCCAGGTGGGCCAGACCCGTTTCCTTGACGGGCGCCGTACGCTGCCCGCCCAAACCCGCCCGCCGCACAAACGCGAGACGCGCCGACCGACGAGGCACAGGGGCAGGCTAGAGCGCAACGCAAGCCGCGCGGCCCGTGAAGGCGTGTGAACCCACCCGGGGCCGCGCCACGTCTTCTCCCCTCCTGATTCCTGAATCCTGACCTCCCCCCCTCTGCCCCCCTCGTCAAGCTCATCATCCGCTTCCGCCTCTCGGATCTCGCCGTGCACCGCCGCTAATTTCCACCCACCGCTCCGCACGCACTTGCACCTAACACCTCGTAGATCTCTCCAGATCTACGCGCGCACCGCGCGCTGCCATTTTTTCCGCTCCGATTCTTCCCCCACTCCAGTTTACGCCCGCCCGCTGTTTCACTTCCGTTGACCGATTCCCGCTCGCATTTCCACACCCCGCACTCTGTTCGGAATTGGTCTCGATGGAGTGAAGTCCTAGCAATGGCGGAGGACGCGCGCGAGTTGTCCGATTCCTCCCCGGCGCCGCCGCGGGAGGAGGGCTCCGACGAGCAGTTCGCGGCCGTACCGCTCGGCGACGAGGAAGGCGTCGTCGAGGTCGAGGAGGAGGAGGCGTCGGATCCGGGGATGAGTACCAGCACGCCCGCGACGCCCTACGAGCCGTCCCCGCGGCCCAGGCGGCGGCCGCGGCCGCCTGGAGTGCCGGCCGACGCGCCACAGGAGGTGGTGCGGGCGGTGGAGGAGGCGATCGCGGGCGGGGCGGACCTCCTCCACGAGGTGGTCTCCCAGGAGCAGGGCGAGCTGGCACACTCCGTCGTCGACGTGCTGCTCGGCACCATGGGCGGTGCGGACGAGGCAGGCGACGCCACCGGCACCGGCGCTCCTCCCACCGTCATGATCAGCTCGCGTGCTGCTGTTGTCGCCGCCGAGCTGCTGCCCCATCTTCCCGAAGACGACGAGCCGTCGCCGCGCACTCGTGCAGCCTCGGGTCTGCACGCCGCCCTCCGCGCCTGCACTCGCAACCGTGCCATGTGTTCTTCCGCAGGCCTCCTGGCTACCCTCCTCGCGTCCGCAGAGAAGCTGTTCGTCGAAATGGATCAGGGTAGTAGATGGGACGGGACGCCACTGCTTCAGTGCATTCAGATGTTGGGTGGGCACTCGCTTAGTGTGAAAGACCTGCATTCCTGGCTTGATTTGGTTAGAAAGGCACTTGGAACTAGCTGGGCCACGCCACTTATGCTAGCGCTTGAGAAGGCCATGGGCAGCGTGGAAGCAAAAGGTCCTGCTGTGACATTTGAGTTTGACGGAGAGAGCTCTGGTCTGCTTGGCCCAGGTGACAGCAGGTGGCCCTTCCTAAATGGATATGTGTTCGCTACTTGGATATATATAGAATCATTCTCGGATACGCTTAGCACAGCAACAGCTGCCGCAGCCATTGCTGCTGCTGCGGCGGCAACATCTGGAAAATCATCAGCAATGTCAGCTGCTGCGGCAGCCAGTGCCCTTGCGGGAGAAGGAACAACACACATGCCCCGGCTTTTCAGCTTTCTCTCTTCAGATAACCAGGGCGTGGAAGCCTACTTTCATGGCCAGTTCTTGGTGGTGGAGAGTGTGGGTGGGAGGGGTAAGAAATCTTCTTTGCACTTCACATATGCGTTCAAGCCTCAGTGCTGGTATTTTGTTGGTTTGGAGCACACAAACAAGCATAGTTTGCTTGGAAAGGGTGATAGTGAATTGAGGCTGTATGTTGACGGTAGCCTGTATGAGAGCCGTCCTTTTGAGTTTCCGCGTATCTCGAAACCACTTGCATTTTGCTGCATTGGGACAAATCCACCACCAACTATTGCAGGCCTGCAGAGGCGCAGGCGGCAATGCCCATTATTTGCTGAAATGGGGCCTGTCTACATCTTCAAGGAACCAGTTGGGCCAGACAGAATGAGACGGCTAGCATCCCGAGGAGGAGATACACTGCCCAGTTTTGGAAATGGCGCAGGCTTGCCATGGAAGGCAACTAATGATCACATTAAGAGTATGGCTGAAGAGAGCTTTACACTCAACAATGAGATTGGGGGAAGCTTGCATCTTCTTTACCATCCTAGTCTTCTCACTGGGCGGTTTTGCCCAGATGCCTCACCTTCTGGTTCATCAGGTTTTAACTCCCCACATCTCCTCCCTCTGTACTTAGAGTTGACTATATTATGTTTCTTGCACCTGCACCAGCATTACCATTTATTTGAAATCTATGATCCATGTTAGTACCTTTGCTTTCCAAATCTGAAAATACCCATTGCAAATGTTTTAAAGGAGAGAATAAATGTTGAAAATCACTGAATCATTTAATAGGATCGCAAAGCTATTGAAACTAGGTGTATCATATTTCTTGTTGCTCCTGCTACGCGTGGATGCCATTGTGTCATGGTCTCTCGTACTCTATATATGATCTAAGTATCTAACTGGTACCTTCTTCTGTTGAATTTTAGGCACTCATCGAAGGCCTGCAGAGGTTCTTGGATTGGTTCATGTCTCATCTCGTGTGCGACCTGCAGAATCTTTATGGGCCTTAGCTTATGGGGGCCCAATGGCTTTACTTCCACTAACCATAGGCAATGTGCATGTGGACAGCCTTGAGCCTACACCTGGGGACTTGCCATCGTCCCTTGCTACTGTTTCCCTTTCTGCCCCAGTTTTCAGGATTATTTCCCAAGCTATTCAACACCCTGGAAATAATGAAGAATTATGCCGGACATTTGCACCAGAGCTTTTATCACGTGTTTTGCATTATCTGTTGCGAGCTCTTTCAAAGCTGGAAAGTGGAGAAGAGGCACTGACTGATGAGGAGCTTGTTGCTGCCATTGTATCTTTGTGCCAGTCTCAAAGAAATAATCATGAACTTAAAGTGCAGCTTTTCAGCAGCTTGCTGTTGGACCTAAATCTATGGAGTTCATGCAGTTATGGTTTACAGAAGAAGCTTCTGTCCTCTCTTGCAGACATGGTATTTACAGAGTCTGCTTGCATGCGAGATGCCAAAGCGATGCAAATGCTTCTTGATGGCTGCAGAAGGTGTTACTGGGTAATTCAGGAACCGGATTCAATCGATAACTTTGCACTTACTGGAACAAAGAGATCTTTGGGGGAAGTGAATGCTCTAGTCGATGAACTTTTGGTTGTTATTGAACTGCTGTTAGGAGCAGCATCTTCAACAGCAGCTGCAGATGATGTTCGCTGTTTGATTGGATTTATTGTTGACTGCCCACAGCCTAATCAGGTACTTGGGACTTTGCTTACTAGACAAACTTTGTTAAACTTTCACCAGTGCTTTCTATCCTTTTTTTTTTCTGCTGAGCTTTGTTGTTGTTGTTGTTGAGCTATGAATAATCTGAATGGGAAATGCATAAATCTTCCATGTCTTACTACAAGTGGGTTATTAATTATGTATTTATTGGCAGGTTGCAAGGGTGTTGCACCTCATATATAGGTTGATTGTACAGCCTAACATCTCTAGAGCCAACTTATTTTCTCAATCCTTCATCACTAGTGGTGGTGTGGAAGCACTACTTGTTCTTTTACAACGGGAAGCTAAAGCGGGTAATAAAAATATTTTGAATCATTCTGGTGCAAATTTTAGTGAAAATAATGTGCCCAAGGATGGAAGTTCCAACAGAAAAGCTGATAGTGCTGACACAAGAAGTCAGGTTGATGAAACTCAATCAGCTGAACGTCATGAAACTGTCTTCCATGAAGAAGCCGCTGAACATGAAGCCACAAATGCAAATGATATGCTGGACTCAAATATTGGAAGTAAAGTGACTGGTTCTGAGAATGGGCTCTTGAAGAATTTGGGTGGCATTAGCTTCTCAATTACTTCTGATAATGTCCGGAATAATGTTTACAATGTTGACAAAGGTGATGGAATTGTTGTTGGCATTATTCACATTCTCGGCGCTCTAGTTGGATCAGGTCACCTGAAATTTGATTCTGGTGCTGGAAGTCCAAATATACCTGGTGGTAATCAGACCACACTTAATGAAGAAGGAAATACTATGTCAGAAGATAAAGTATCATTGCTACTTTTTGCATTGCAAAAGGCATTCCAAGCAGCCCAAAGGAGGCTTATGACAGCAAATGTCTATATGGCTTTGATTTCTGCTGCGGTATGTAGTTTTTCTGAATGTTACATAATTGGATATATTTATTTACCTACACTGGTTGGCTTCATGTGATTAATTGAAGACAGCGGCTCTTGTTTTACTTCTCTACTTTCAACCCTCTTGTGAAGTTTAATAACCCTTTTCTTAACATAGAGGTCCTATTAAAATTTGATGCTTCAAATAAAAGTGATAGGAAATAATAACAAAATAATCTATTGATCTGTTCTTCAATGGTCATCCAAATAAAAATGAGCAGAAACGCTAAATTGACTCTGCCTAAATGAGGGGCTGGGACCATAAGATTTTTCATTTGGTTTTTGTTGTATGCAGTTTGATATGTTTACTATTTTGATTTATAGTAGCATACAAGCAAACCAAAACTTTTCAAGTTTAATGATCTGATCCTTCCTCCCAATTTTATTGATGAACTGTTTGTTTACAGTTCAAAATTTATAGCTTGAACTTTGCCATGTTCTTGAATGCAGATTAATGTTTCATCAGCTGATGAAAGTCTTAATCTTTATGATTCTGGTCACCGTTTTGAACATATTAAACTTTTACTGGTTCTACTTCGCTCGCTTCCATATGCATCTAGGGCCTTCCAAGCTCGTGCCATACAGGTCTGTTTTCATTGCCTTACAGTGAATTGTTGCATTATTTGTATATTATCATGTCAAAGGGTCCTTACAACAACAACAACAAAGCCTTTTAAGTCCCAAACAAGTTGGGGTAGGCGTCAAAGGGTCCTTACTGAAATAAATATATTAGTTTATTAATAGACTAATGCAGTAGGGACTTTTTCTTGACTGCGCAGGAGAACTGCACATCATTAACAGAACTTATCTAAGACCTGCATAATCCTATGGTCAAGGCTATAAGTCTTGACTCTTGAACAAAGTCAAAGCTACTTTGTTTTCATATATGCTGTGTATGGTTTTGCCTTTTCTCTTTGTAATATCGTTTTTTACTGGCAGTAGTGAAAACTACCAATTTCGAAATTATGCTGTATGTTAGTCAGCTTCGTTTGCATTCTTAAACTACTCCAAGGGTAGATTTTGAAATCTTAGGATTACATGCCAGTGTTGCTAATATCTGGATGCCTTACATCTCCATCAACTTCATAGCCCCAGTTGCCATGTTTATATCATTAAAAGTCAGCCAAATCATTAACGGCATCTTTGACACCATGTAACCAAACAACTACACATATGTTTTCACCTGTACTGTGCTACATTGTTATATGCTCTTTGTTCTGTACAGACTAAGGCTTGTATGTTTTTCATTTTTCATTTTTTTAGATCTTGTTTAATTTCTTATGGTGTCAAAATATTTCTATGTCGTTTCAGGATCTTCTGTTTTTGGCTTGCAGTCATCTAGATAACAGAACTACAATGACCTCAATTGCAGAGTGGCCAGAATGGATTTTGGAAGTTTTGATTTCTAACCATGAGGTGAGTGTCACAGGCCTTTTATCATATTTTTCTAACAAGAATCGAGCTCAGATGACATAAACTGTATTTCTTCATTTCACGTATTCAAACTGTAGATGGGCACAAAGAAAAATGCTGATGGTGTAAGCATTGGTGAGATTGAAGACCTCATACACAATTTCCTGATTATAATGTTGGAGCATTCAATGCGACAAAAAGATGGGTGGAAGGCAAGATAATTTTTAAGCAGAACATCCTCAGTAGCATACATGTTTCATAGTGTCATGGCCATCTGACCATCCCTTCTTTGTGGATAGGTTTGTGATGGTTGTATCACAGCCAAATTCATTTTGTTTTTTTTCATAAGATCTTGTTTGTCCTTTCCCTGCAACTATTTAGGATGTGGAGGCAACAATTCATTGTGCGGAGTGGCTGTCAATGGTTGGAGGATCTAGCACTGGAGACCAAAGGATCAGGTGGTCCCTTCACTCTTAAAAATCTGTATGTTAGCTAGATATCAGGGTAGTTGTTCAAGAAATAATTTCAGAACTTCATTCTAAGATATCTGCACTCAAAAGCCTAGGATTGACTTCTCAAACTCCTTAGGCAACACTATTTATTTTCTCTGCACTATGTTTACCATTACCCTTTTCGGTTACTGGGATTTTTTGCCCTGCATTTTTGTGACAACCTTCTACTTTATATTCTTTAAGGCGTGAAGAATCATTACCTATTTTTAAAAGGAGATTGTTGGGTGACCTGCTTGATTTTTCTGCCAGGGAGCTTCAAGTTCAGGTACTCCTTTTCTCGACATGATCTGCCTAAGCATGGATCTTTTTATACATTGTATTGGCAGTTGTTTCTTATATCTCTTACTGTTGCTACTTTCTATAGTTAATTTTTCATGTTTTGTTTTTTATGTCTCTTCCTATAAAATAATAATCCTTCTCTGGCTTGAATTGTGATATATTAATTGGGGGAAAATAGGAATAGGTACAAATGATATATAGATTATGGTTGTCGGCAATTCTTATGTTTGAAATAGTAGAGTTGGACAGTTGGTAGCTTTGACTGCATTCCCTACTCCCTCTGCTCAAGAATAACAGGTTGGTGGCACCTAGATGCAGTAGCACTGCTATGTAACAACATTTTTTCTGTTATGTTGTCATGAATACTGACACTCAACCACATTTCTATTTGTAGTTGTTTGATCCTAGAGGATAACTGTAATAGATTTGTTGTATTTCTGAATGGTTTACATTATATCATCATAAAACTTGGCCTGCAAGGGGTCATGACCGCCCCCCAGGTATTGTGCTTAAGAAGAAGGTCTTCTCACACAAACCGAGAAAATACCCAAACCCCCGCCCCATCCATACACAGGGAGACGTTACCCGTGAGAAGGGCCGATCTCTTTACTTGTGCTTTGGCCTTGGGCGAGCGAGGGGATTTTTTTACCCTCAGCCTGAAATTCGCTCCCATGGTAGTTCGAACTCAGGACCTGAGGGGTGCCGCCGGAACTGCTTAACCAGCTGGTCTAGCATCCTTTGGCACATCATGCAGATTGTTGCAATGTGATAGTTTTTCCCTGAGTTCTGTGGCTATTCTTCTGTAATGTCTTTCTTTTGCTTGTATGTCCAGCAGACTGAAGTAATTGCAGCAGCTGCAGCTGGTGTTGCAGCTGAGGGTTTGTCTCCTGAAGAAGCAAAAGTTCAAGCTGAGAATGCTGCTCATCTCTCAGTAGCACTAGCAGAGAATGCAATAGTTATTCTGATGCTTGTGGAAGATCATCTGAGATCACAAGGTCAACATTTTTGCACATCCCTTACAGGTGATAGCATCACATCTTCCACAGCAATGGCTTCATTGGCTGCCAGTCGGTCAAATTCTTTGGGCACAGCTGGTAAAGAACCCATGGCTGCTGGGGCCTCAAGACGGGCATCTTTGTCCAGTGATGCTGGTGGCCTTCCTCTGGATGTATGTAACACATGATGGCTATGTGTCATTGCATTTTTCTTGGTATCTAATGAAAATAAAAAATAATTAACTTTTGACTGTTCCTTCATGCCTTCATGGCTTATGCTGATAGACTATTGCCAACACATAGTTGAACTTTATTCTTATGAATACTTTCTTCATTTTTGTCTGCTGTGATTGAAGCAGTTGCTTACTTCTATGGCTGATTCAAATGGACAAATCTCTGCTGCCGTGATGGAACGTCTTACAGCAGCAACAGCAGCTGAACCTTATGAATCTGTCAAGCATGCATTTGTGTCTTATGGGAGCTGCATAGCTGATCTTGGAGAAAGTTGGAAGTACCGAAGCCGTTTGTGGTATGGTGTTGGCATTCCACCCAAATCTGATATATTTGGTGGTGGTGGAAGCAGTTGGGAATCTTGGAAATCTGTTCTAGAGAAGGATTCAAATGGGATTTGGGTCGAATTTTCACTTGTGAAGAAATCAGTTGCTGTGCTGCAGGCACTTCTGTTAGATGAATCTGGACTTGGTGGTGGTCTTGGTATTGGAGGGGGATCTGGCCCTGGTATGGGGGTTATGACTGCCCTTTATCAGTTGCTAGATAGCGATCAACCATTTCTTTGCATGCTCAGAATGGTTCTTGTTTCGATGAGGGAGGATGACAATGGTGAAGGTGATGCTTTTACGAAAGATGTTAGCATAAAGGATGTGGTATCAGAAGGAATGGACCACCAGGCTGGAAGCATGATGCCTTTTGATGGCAACAGTTATTCATCTCCAAGAAAACCTCGATCTGCACTTCTTTGGAGGTAACTGCATCATTTAGCAAAGTCAGATTCACAGCTCATCTTGTTGCTGAATTAACACAATGTAGCTGTGCTAATGCTAAACTGCTGGTGGTTTCTCAAAAAAAGTCCTAATGATCTTTGTTAGGAGTTGGAGCATTTGTTGTAATTTACTCCTTCCGTCCCAGAAAACTTGATGTTTTAGCTCTTGGACACTAGATTAGGCCTATATCAGCTTGAGATTGCAGCCTGCATGCCTCCATGCATTCCTTTAAGTAGGGCCTTATTCCTTAATTAGCATGGATCACCTTCAATAAATAGGGGTACATATGTAGTTTCCATTGAGCACTAATCTATTCTAAAAATCCTAAAACATCAAGTATCTTGGGATGGAGTAGTAGTTAATAATCAGAACTTCAACAGTAGCAAGTTGCTTTCATATATTTTGTTGAAGTGAATTGGCAACATCTCCCCATCTGCTTAGGATTTTGGGTGCAACTGTTGGCACAATTTTTTAATAAGAATTGTTTGCTCGCTCCAATTCCACATTTCCACATGAGGGTGAGGGAGAGTGTTCCGCCTTTCCCCATCAGATTTGGTTTTTGGGTGCAACTAGTCAGTGCATGCAGCTAAATACATATTATATGATTCAGCTTTTTAGTCGATCATGGGTGGCCATTTTGTTAATTCCTAAATCTTGTGACTGTACAGTGTGCTTGGCCCCATCCTCAATATGCCAATAACGGAGTCTAAGAGACAAAGAGTGTTGGTTGCTTCCTCTATTCTCTATTCAGAGGTGAGTTTCTTTTGCATTATCACTTAATCATGTAATTTGTCTCATAATGAATTTAAAGTCATGCGCCTTAGTAGACTAGTCACTGAACATAGAACTCCTTTTTAACTTCTTTTCTTCATGCATGTGCTATGGATTGTATGGTCCCAATATTACTTTTTTTTATTTTCTGAATTTGTTGGTGGTTTAGTGTGCAGCTCACATTTTTAAAAGAGAGTGGATTTGGTGCCCATAGGGGCTGGCGCCCTCCTTATCTGCAGCGTCCATCTTAATAGAAATAAACGGAAGCAAAAAGAGCTAATGGAACCATCTTTCTCTTCCTCGCTGCTCACAATGCCGCCCGTCTTCCTTACCGCCAAGCACGCCAACCATGGCCCTGCTCCTCCCCGCAACCTTTTCTGCTCTTCGCCGTCTCCTCCTGGCCTCCAGCTGCTGCATCACGGGGAGGAGGGGCGGATCCACTGGCTCCCTCCGCTCCCCACGACCTCCTCTGCTCCTCCCCATCTCCTCTGGATCCAGCTGCTGCATCACGAAGAGGAGGGGCTGCATCTGCTCCCCACGACCTCCTCTGCTCCCCATCTCTTCCTGGATCCAACTGCTGCATCACGAAGAGGAGGGGCGCCAGGGGCACGCTCATTGGAGGCCCGCATGCTCTCGTAGGGAGGCACGGACGGGGCGTGCCGCGCTTAGGGGGAGGCGCGGACCGGGCAGGGAGAAACACGAGACGAGGAGGGAGGTGAGGTGGAGGAAGAAACACTGTCACATGCTTCTGTCAAAGCGAATCTCAGCGCACCAGGCAACGGTCCAGATAAGGAGGGCGCTGTATATTTTTCATTTTTAAAATATATTTCCTTATCCCCTGTCCTAGTTTGTTTCATATCTTCCTAATTGAGTCAGCCCTGCACCTGGTATATAAAGGTAGCCTTAGCCTTGCTCAGAAACTCTTGGAACAAGAGTCAATCTTATAAAGGGCTTTGCCTACGAAACTTGGCTAATGATCAGAGCCTCTTCTCAATGGGGCAAGGCTGAAGATAAGAGGGCTATCAGCCATTTTCTTGATGTGTAATCTGGTATAGTAACAGTTTTTATCTTCAATATGGCAATATTATGTGCTAACATCCTTCCCTCTTTTCCATTTTCAAGTGAAGATTTCCATGTTGGATAAAACTGGAAGTTTTTGGTGGCCTCTGGCCTGTCCTAAATCCCTTGACTTTTATGCTATACATGCCTGTCTTGCTCATCCAAATACTTTTTTTTTTGGCCAAACACTATTATATTAATGAATCCATGGGAACGTTGTAAATAAATGAGCATACCATATTCATCTTTTAGGCTTCTAATTTTTTGTTCATGTATTTTTGTAATGATATTATTCAGGGAGTATAAAATTGTTGTTATTTGTTAGTCATAAGAGTTTGCACTATCTTACCTTTGATGCAGGTATGGCACGCTATTGGCAGGGACAGGAAACCCCTAAGGAAACAATACATTGAGCTGATTTTACCACCGTTTATAGCAATTCTTAGAAGATGGCGGCCCCTTTTGGCTGGTATTCATGAGCTTACTTCGTCAGATGGACAAAATCCACTGATTGCTGATGATCGTGCTTTGGCAGCAGATGCATTACCTATTGAGGTACTGGCTGTCTCCCTGGAGGCTATTGCTAAACTCTGTATCACTGGCATACTGATGACAAATCAAGAAGGCAATTTTACTGTGCTTATTTTACTCATATTTCACGCTTAAACTAGGAAAAGCTGCAACTCAGAAAAATATGTATCTTTTGCTATAGAATTATGAAAGAGAATAGTTGGATTGGTTCTAAGTACGTGTAACTAACCATAGACTGGTAGCTTTAAGCCTCTAACTAAATCGTGTTTTTTTATGTTGATGTTTTAGAGTGGAGAAGTGTTATGGTATAGGGTTTCTAGGAAATACATGGTTGCATCTTCCTAAAGTGCCCACACCTCATATGGCCTGTTCGGAATTCATTCAGGGATTTCAAAGGGAACAATTGATTTGTTATGGTAGCCAGAGAAAAAAAAATCCTACTTTACAAATTGAACCTTAGATTATGCTATGTTTTACAAGATTCATTCTAGGCTTAAAGAGGGTGGTTTAAGGGACATCCAAATTTGACGTGGTTGCAAACAACACAAAACTTATTGTGTATGCTCATCTTGTGCTCTTCCTTAATAAGTGAGCACACTGTGCACAAATATAAAGTATCTGGTTAGGTGGCTCGAGTAGCACTCCTCCGGTGGGAGTGAATTTTAGGCTGGGATTAAAAAAATCCCCTCATCTGTCCCACACCAAAGCATAGGTCTAAAGTCCAACCCCGGCCGTGGTCGTTCTCACATGGGCTACGGTGCCGCTGTGTATGGGTGGGGCAAGGGTTCGGGGGTTTTCTCGACCTGCATGAGGTCTTCTTCTTAGCAAAATGCTTGGGGGCTGTCTTACCCCCTGCAGGTCGAGTTTTTAAGGATAAAAAAATGGAGGCAGCATGGTTTTTGTCCATGTTCACCTAATTGGGCAATCTGATTATCGTGAAACCCAGAAATGGATCATAATTTGTATTACGCGTGTGTCTCAAGTTCTGATCTTTGCTCTAGTCTGTTAAAAGCCATCCATGCTTTATATTTTGCTTCTTATTGGACAACTGTTAAACATAGTATTTGCTGTTGTGGACATTGATATTTAACTGATCTTGTTGTCCCGATATTCAAGACAAACATTGTGTCATTTAGCATGACAATCCTTGTGAGGAATTTTTAGAAAAAAAAAGTTGCTGGTCGTTTTTTGTTTAAAGATTAATAACTTAATATCATATGTTATCATGTCTTCTCCAGAGAATACCGTATTGATTGGAAGTTTTTTTTGGTCTTATTTCTTTTGAGCTCTCAGGCTGCTCTTTTGATGGTATCGCCTGGTTGGGCTGCTGCTTTTGCGTCACCACCAGTTGCGATGGCATTGGCCATGATGGCTGCTGGTGCCTCAGGGACAGAAACAAGAACACCTCCTAGGAATACCTTGAATAGGCGTGACACAGCATTGCCTGAGCGCAAAGCAGCAGCAAAACTACAGGCTTTCTCGAGTTTCCAGATGCCTTTAGAAACAGCAGCTAACAAGCCTGGGTCCACCCCAAAGGACAAGGCAGCGGCAAAAGCTGCCGCATTGGCAGCCGCTCGTGACCTTGAGCGAACTGCTAAGATTGGCTCAAGAAGGGGCCTTAGTGCTGTAGCGATGGCAACATCAGGACAAAGGAGGAGTTCAGGCGATATCGAGCGTGCAAAGAGGTGGAATACATCAGAAGCTATGAGCGCAGCTTGGGTGGAGTGTCTGCAATCAACTGATTCTAAATCAGTTGCAGGAAGGGATTTTTCAGCCCTTTCATACAAATATGTTGCAGTTCTTGTTTCTTGTTTGGCCTTAGCACGAAACTTACAACGAGCTGAGGTAAATCCACTTGGAACATTTTTTTTTAGTTATTTATATAATTTTTTATGCCTTCTAAAATTAGGAAAATGCAGATGGAGAGGCAAACACTAGTTGATGTGTTAATTCGGCATCGTGCCTCAACAGGGCTTCGAGCATGGCGGCATCTTCTTCATTGCCTAACAGAGATGGGTAGACTATATGGACCTTTTGAACATCTGTGCACTCCTGTTCATGTACGTACTGATAATAATTTCTTAATCTGTTTCACATGGGTTCTCCTTTTGAACATCTGTTGAGAACCCATGTGAAGTTTCAACTAGTGTTTGACTAGTACAATCTGAACCTAGCGAGTTGCTCTGTAACATGCTCTACATATGAGAACCCGTGTGAAGTTTCAACTGTGTATATGTAATAATCAATTTTACTACTCTGTGTTGCAGGTTTTCTGGAAATTAGATTTTACTGAAAGCTCTTCAAGGATGAGAAGATTTATGAAAAGAAATTACAAGGGATGTGATCATTTAGGTGCAGCTGCTGACTATGAGGACCGGAAGCTTCTTAGTACTTCTGCACAGTCAAATGAACACAACTCTGAGGATGCTAATTCTTCATTAACAAGCACTCTTCCATCATCTGCTTCTGCAATTATGGCTGATGCCATGTCAATGGATGACAGAAATGTGGAAAATGAACAGTTAGAAACTGACACTACTCGCAGCAGTGTTGATGATGATCAGCTTCAACATTCTTCAGCAGCCGATCAACAATCGGTAAAAGGATCGATAGGTTCAAGAAGTTCTGACATTTGTGCTGATCGGAATTTGGTTAGATCTACAGTTCTTGCACCTAGTTATGTGCCTAGTGAAGCCGATGAGAGAATTATTGTTGAACTGCCATCATTGATGGTGCGACCATTGAAGGTTGTTCGAGGAACATTCCAAGTAAGTGATTTCTAGACGTGTTTGTCATTAGTGTCTTCTCATAAGAATTCATAATTTAAAATGTTTTCTTTCCATTATTTGAAGGTTACCAGTTTATGCCAATTAGCTAATTACACATTTCACCTTCAGTATATGAATGCATATTGCAGATATTATAGGAAAAGCTGTAGCTATCTAACATAAACCATAACTTAAGTGTGAATTGGTACAACAATTCATGCACATTATTGGAAATTTTCTTTTCTTTATATATATAAATATGAACTTTTTTTTGTGTTGTCCAATATTATGTAGTATGGTACAGTGACCTTCCTTCTTAATGCTAAGATACACAATCTCTCATACGTATTCTGAGACAACAGTACAGTGAACTTCTGTAGTTCTAGAGCAATTATACACATGTTATGTGGGGCCGCCATTATCAGCGCAGACCTCGAGCACGAGGTGCAACCAGTGCGGCCCCCAAGAGCATGATTGACCAGGAGGAACCCAAGGAGGTCTAGGCGCCCAAGGGGCCTTAGTTATTAAGATCAATTAAGAGAGTTGTGTGGGGGATCAAGGAGTAGTAGCTGGCTGATAGTTATTAGCTGGCACCAGGAACTAGGAGCTGGGCGCCAGCAGTCCTATATATATGTAATCCCTGCTTTCAGTTGAAGGAAGGAATGAAGTGATTTATCCCTAATCTCATCTCCCTGCTATCTCTAATCTCACCTCCCTGCTGTGGGCGCCAGCCATATCCTGGCGCCCCCATCTCCTATCCAGCTACCACCACGCCTCCCACCACACCCACCCAATCCACAGCCTCTTCTTCACCACCAATGGCTGAACCATCCAACGCCGACATCGCCAAGATGATGAGTGAACTCACCAAGAGCATGGCGACCATGCAGCAGCAGATTCTCGCGCTGCAGCAGGCTCAGCCACCTCCATCGACCTCCCAATCGGGAACTCGAGGTTTTGGCTTCGGCGAGCACACGGGTGACCGGCCGCCCCGGTTCCAGAAGTTGGATTTCCCCAAGTTCGACGGCAAATCCGACCCGCTGGCTTTCATCAACCGGTGCGAGTCCTACTTCGTTCAACAGCGCATCGCCGCCGAGGAGCAGGTCTGGATGGCCTCCTACAACCTCGAAGGCAGTGCGCAGATGTGGTACATTCAAGTGCAGCAGTCCGAGGGCACTCCATCATGGAGGCGCTTCACCGAGCTCCTCAATCTCCGCTTCGGTCCACCCCTCCGATCCAACCCCATGGGCAAACTCATGGCCTGCAGGCGCACGGGGACCGTGGCGGAGTACCAGGACCGGTTCGAGGCCCTGCTACCTCGTGCTGGGCCACTGGAGGAGGTACAGCGCATCCAGGCCTTTACGACGGGGCTCGGTCCGCCGCTCAGCCACGACGTGGAGATGCAGAACCCCCAGATGCTCATCGTGGCCATGAGTTTGGCCCGGAAGCTGGAGATTCGGGAGCAGAGCGTGGTTGCAGCCGCCATGGCGCCCCCCCAGGCGCCTCGCCTCACGGGCCGTGGCCTTCTGGCAGGTCCCGCCCAGCCCCTAGCCCTACCGGCTCCACCACCAGCAGGCCGTCAGGTGCCGGCAGCGCCCACCGAAGGTCGTCCAGTACGCCGCCTCAGCACTGCGGAGATGGATGATCGCCGGCGCCAAGGGCTTTGTTTCAACTGCAACGAGAAGTATGCTCGCGGGCACAATCGTGTCTGTCAGCGTCTTTTCTTCCTGGATCTATCAGAGGAGGATGAAGCTGAAGACGTCGCGCCCCTGGTCAATCTGGACGATCCCACAATCTCCCTGCTCGCCATCGCAGGGGTACGCACCGGGGACACGATGCGTACCGCGCATCAACTCAGGGGCGTGTCGCCGCTCTCTTCTTCGGATTCGTGGTCCACACACAATTTAAATCGCGGTGAGGCAAAGCCGGACCTCCCTCCGCCTCCAGCTCCACGGCGGCATGAGGGTTACTGTCGCAAATGGTGACAAAGTGCCGTGCCCAGGCGTCTACCGCGCTGCTACTTTCTCCATCGAGGGAGCCTCCTTTTCAGCGGATTTCTTCGCCTTGCCGCTGGCCGGTTACGATGTTGTGCTTGGGACACAATGGCTGGCCACGCTGGGGCCCATTCTATGGGATTTCGGCGCACTGTCCATGATGGTTCAGCACCAAGGCCGCCAAGTATGCTGGCGGGGCATAACGGGACCTACCAACCCCCGCCTCAAGGCGTGCCACGATGCAGATCTTCTGCCGGCGCTCCTGGCTGAGTTCGCTGGCGTCTTCACCGAGCCCACTGGCATGCCACCACCTAGATCCCGGGATCACTCCATCACCCTTCTCCCGGGGTCTGCGCCGGTCGCGGTCAGGCCTTACCGGTACCCTGCTGCCCACAAGGACGAGCTGTATAGGCAGTGCGCGTCCATGCTGAACCAGGGGCTGATTCGGCGCAGCTTCTCTGCCTTCTCGTCGCCGGTACTGCTTGTCAAGAAAGCTGACGGCTCTTGGCGTTTCTGCGTAGACTACAGGGCACTCAACGCCATCACAGTCAAGGATGCATTTCCCATCCCCGTCGTCGACGAGCTTCTGGACGAGCTGCATGGCGCCCGGTTCTTCTCCAAACTGGATCTGCGTTCTGGGTACCAGCAGGTCCGTATGTGCCCCTGCGACATTGAGAAGACGGCGTTCCGGACCCATGAGGGGCTGTACGAATTCCTCGTCATGCCCTTCGGTCTTTGCAACGCGCCGGCAACCTTCCAAGCACTGATGAATGACATCTTGAGGCCGTTCCTGCGCCGGTTCGTGCTCGTATTTTTCGATGACATTCTCATCTACAGCAGTTCCATGGCAGAGCACCTCAGTCACGTCCGTGCAGTCCTCACTTTGCTGCATCAGTACCGCCTCTTTGTGAAGAAGTCCAAGTGCGAGTTCGGGGTTCAATCCATCACGTACTTGGGTCATGTCATATCTGCCCAGGGCGTGGCCATGGATCCAGCAAAGGTTAAGGCAGTAGAAGACTGGCCCCAGCCCCGCTCAGCTCGCGCCGTCAGAGGATTTCTTGGTCTCGCAGGATATTACCGCAAGTTCGTGCACGGGTTTGGCACCATCGCTGCTCCTCTCACAGCATTACTCAAGGAGGGGTTCATATGGTCTGACGCAGCGGCCGCGGCTTTTGCTGCCCTCAAGAAGGCTGTCACCACAGCACCAGTTCTGGCACTCCCGGATTTTTCATTGCCATTCATTGTGGAGTGTGACGCCTCCACCCATGGTTTCGGCGCCGTTCTCCTGCAGGAACAGCACCCGATTGCTTTCTTCAGCAGACCAGCAGCGCCGCGACATCACTCATTAGCAGCTTATGAGCGCGAGTTGATTGGCCTAGTGCTCACCATCCGCCACTGGCGCCCCTACCTCTGGGGCCGTCGATTCCTGGTGCGCACTGATCACTTCAGCCTGAAGTTCTTACTTGACCAGCGCCTGGCAACAATTCCTCAACATCACTGGGTGGGCAAGTTGCTCGGGTTTGATTTTTCTGTGGAGTACCGGGCAGGCAGTGCCAACACAGTGGCCGACGCTCTATCACGCCGCGACACAGACTGCCGCTCTGCCATCATGGCCCTGTCAGCACCCCATTTCGACTTTGTCAACCAGCTGCGCCAATGCCAGCGACCCAGCACTGATTGCGCTCCATGAGGAAATCCGTGCTAATCAGCGCCAAGCGCCCTGGGCCATCCTGGATGGAATGGTGACCTACCAGGGGCGCCTCTACATTCCACCGGGCGCTCCTCTACTGCACGAGCTCCTGCAGGCTGTTCATGGGGACGGCCACGAGGGTGTTCAGCGGACTCTTCACCGCCTCCGCCGCGACGTGCACTCTCCCAACCTTCGCCAGGTCGTCCAAGACTTTGTGCGGGCTTGTACAACTTGTCAGCGCTATAAGTCAGAACATCTCCAGCCAGCAGGTCTTCTTCTGCCCCTGCCGGTCCTGACAACGGTCTGGGCTGACGTCGGCATGGATTTCATAGAGGCTTTACCGCACGTGGGGGGCAAATCGGTCATCCTCACAGTGGTGGTCCGTTTCAGTAAGTACTGCCATTTCATCGCCCTCGCTCATCCATACTCGGCAGAATCTGTGGCACAAGCATTCTTCGCCGACATTGTGCGCCTTCACGGTCTACCACAGTCCATCGTCTCTGACAGAGACCCTGTGTTCACCTCCATTTTCTGGAAAGAGTTGATGAGGCTATCAGGCATCAAGCTGCACATGACCACTGCCTTCCATCCCCAGTCCAACGGCCAATCTGAAGCAGCCAACAAGGTCATTGTCATGTATCTTCGCTGCCTGACTGGAGATAGGCCGCGTCAGTGGCTTCATTGGCTGCCTTGGGCAGAGTTCATCTACAATACAGCGTTTCAGACAGCACTCAAGTTGACACCCTTCCAGATCGTCTATGGCCGCGATCCTCCCTCCATTCGTTCCTACGAAGATGGGGAGACTCGTGTAGCGGCGGTGGCCAAGAGCATGACACAGCGGGATGAGCTGCTGGCCGATGCCCGCGCCCGGCTGGAGCAGGCCCAGAGTATCTACAAACGGGCCTATGATCAACACCACCGGGACGTCCGCTTTGCAGTGGGTGACTGGGTCTGGCTCCAGCTACGCCACCGCGCCCCAGCCTCCCTCCACGGCGTCACCAAGGGCAAACTTCGGCCCCGCTTCTACGGGCATTACCGCGTGTTAGACTACCATAGTGTCTCCTTGGTTATTGTGTTAGTTACTCCTATTTACTCTGCTATGCGCTTCCCTATGTGGGCTTAGCCCCTGGCCTTCCCAGGCTAAGGCTCTATATATTTGTAATCCCTGTGTAAACATAATCTAAGTTGGTTGGCATTCTGCCTTCACCGCGTCGCTGCTGTCATCAATGAAGTGGCCTACAGTCTCGAGCTGCCCCGCCGCGCCCGTCTTCATGACGTCTTTCACGTGGGGCTCCTGAAGAAGTTCGTGGGCACACCGCCAACGGCTCCGCCGGCTCTGCCACCCATCCACCATGGCGCTGCCCAGCCGGTGCCTGAACGTGCATCACGCACCCGGCTGGCCCGTGGCGTTCGTCAGGTCCTGATACATTGGCAAGGCGAACCAGCGGCTTCTGCTACCTGGGAAGACCTTGACAGCTTTCAAGATCGCTACCCCAGCTTCCAGCTCGAGGACGAGCTGCTCCTGGAGGGGGGAGAGATGTTATGTGGGGCCACCATTATAAGCGCAGACCTCGAGCACGAGGTGCAACCAGTGCGGCCCCCAAGAGCATGATTGACCAGGAGGAACCCAAGGAGGTCTAGGCGCCCAAGGGGCCTTAGTTATTAAGATCAATTAAGAGAGTTGTGTGGGGGATCAAGGAGTAGTAGCTGGCTGATAGTTATTAGCTGGCACCAGGAACTAGGAGCTGGGCGCCAGCAGTCCTATATATATGTAATCCCTGCTTTCAGTTGAAGGAAGGAATGAAGTGATTTATCCCTAATCTCATCTCCCTGCTGTGGGCGCCAGCCATATCCTGGCGCCCCCATCTCCTACCTCCAACTATAATCTGCGCAGCCAGGGGCCTCCATTGTTAGGAGTTGAGGCCCTTGACAACACAATTCTATGAAAAAGTCGTGGTGCATTAGAGCAATTATACACAATTCTATGAAAAAGTCGTGGTGCATTAGTTACAGATATCTCAACAATTCTCGGCAAGATTTCATTTTGGCCACTACAGTAAGTTAATGGTATTACAGAGGTTACTAACAGTGTGCTACAAAGTAGGTAAAATTTCTGGTGGTTATTCGCTGATACATGTAAGCTAACATGTTTGAGCTGAAAACACAAAAGACTCATGTACATTGTCTGACATACCGGTGATGTTACATGTGTCATTCTGTGAAAATTATCTATGCTACTTACCATGATATATATTATATTCTGATCTCTGGATTGTGCAAAAAAAAAAGTAACATTTCTATTGTTTGATTTGTGATTCGCTTAACTAGCAGTCATCGTTATATCACATTTTGTTGTTGGAATGTTTGGTTTTATATTTTTACCGATTAATCTGCTTTTATTGAACTTCCACTTTAGTTTCTAATGCATGTCATTTGCCCCCTTTAATTTGTTCCCAGGTAACTTCAAAGAGGATTAACTTCATAATTGTTGAGTGTTCAAATGACAGTAACATTGATGATGCTGCATCTACTAGTGGCCAATGCGATCAACAAGATAAAGATCGAAGCTGGTTGATCTCATCACTTCATCAGATATATAGCAGACGGTAAACCTTACTTTCTGATCTGGTGCTATTGTTATAAATTGCTTCTGGTCTATCATCAAGTTCATTTTTTTCTTTTTTTTCTTTTGGGATGAGTAAATCACACTCTATATGTGACTTGTTACCTTACAGTATAGTTGATTTTCTGTGTGCCGTTCACTCATTTTGTGGGTCAAAATGACTTGTTGCAGATACTTGCTACGTCGAAGTGCTTTGGAATTATTCATGGTAGATAGGTCGAATTTCTTTTTTGACTTTGGGGTACATCCTTAACGAAACTCCCTACTTTAATTTTAATTCGTTACCTGTTGCATCTGAATAACTATCTTAAATTCGTGTCTATTTGCTGTAGGATATTGATGCCCGTAAAAACGCTTATCGGGCCATTGTTCATACCAAACCTCCTAACTTGAATGACATCTTTTTAGCTACCCAGGTTTGTGTTCTGAGCATTTTAACCCAATATCTAGCATTGTCAATATGCAATAATAGGTAGTCATGTCTCCTTTTTATTTCAGAGAGCTGAGCAGATTCTTAAAAGAACTCAGTTGATGGAGCGCTGGGCTAATTGGGAGGTACACATACATTGTCCTCTGCAATATGTCGGTAGTTTTTGTAAGATAATTTGCTGTTTGCTCCTGATCTTTTGCTGCAGCAGAGGTTAGGCAATAGGTCAACTCTGCTAGTCTGCTGTCCACTCTATCTACTGTAGCAGTATGGCAATAGTGCCAAGTAGTGGCTATAGTAAAAGTAGGTGTACTAGCTGTACTTGTAATTGGCTAGAGTAGTGTAATAGAGCTGGCTGAAGGCTGTTCAGTTCAGTTGCTGCACTTGTGTGTGCGAGTGTGTGCTGTGCTCAACCCTGTTCCTCTTCTACCTCCAGCCCCAAAGTGTTGTGTGAGTGTGGTGCTGCTCACCTGTGCAGGCCAGCCAGTTTCCAACAGTTTTGATATCTAACTATGTCTAATTTGTTCAGATCAGCAATTTTGAGTACTTAATGGAACTTAACACACTGGCTGGGCGCAGTTACAATGACATTACTCAGGTCAGTATCCTGCATACTTCATATTTCTGGTCGAATCTAGCGACTTGTCGTCCTAATATTGTTTCTGCTTGTGCAGTACCCTGTTTTCCCCTGGGTAGTAGCAGATTACAAATCCCGAGTGTTGAATCTGGATGATCCTTCGTCGTATCGAGATCTTTCAAAGGTTGACCTTCACCTATTTGTTGCTCCTGTCTTTTGCTAATCACTAACCACAGCCTGTGTTATTTGATGCAGCCAATTGGAGCACTAAACCCTGAACGTCTAAAGAAGTTCCAAGAACGGTACTCTACATTCGAGGATCCAATCATCCCAAAGTTTCATTATGGTTCACATTACTCCAGCGCTGGCACGGTATATCTTCTTAGTAGATATGAATCCGATGCTTATTTAGAATACTGGATATGCAATATGAATTATGTAGTGCGCAAGTGCTCTGGGCCGTATTTAACTCTTGATTAATTTGTAATAAGCAGACTATAAAGGAGTCTAAAGGTCATATGTGTCATGGTTTTGCCTGCATCAGTCAATACTTTGTCTTAATTGTGATTTTACCCTTTGTATAACTTTGTTTTGTTTGCAATCCTCTTTTGTCAATTGTTCTAATACTTAGGAAACACAAAGTTGTCATTTCTTGCTCGATTATGTGGCCTGCAATTTTGATATTTGGTTATTTGTCCAGTGCATACTTGGTTATCACAACATTTGATTTGTTACTAACTACTATTATCCCTTGCAGGTCTTGTATTACCTTTTCAGAGTGGAGCCTTTTACAACACTGTCTATACAACTGCAAGGCGGCAAATTTGACCATGCTGATCGCATGTTTTCTGATCTTTCTGGTACATGGGATAGTGTTCTTGAAGACATGAGTGATGTAAAAGAGCTAGTAAGTATACCGACAAGTGTCTGCAGTAGTTCCCATCGATCTTTACTGGTTCGTGGCGAAACCAAGTCTAGGTTGCAGCAATCTGATTATTTGATGGTAATTCATCTAGGTACCTGAGATGTTTTACCTCCCTGAGGTATTTACCAACATCAATGGCATTGACTTTGGGACAACTCAACTTGGAGGGAAGCTAGGTAATCACATTTCAATTTATGTCAACTATGCAGCTGAGTAGATATAAACAGTGATGCATTCCGGTACCATTGCAGATTCCGTAGAATTGCCTCCCTGGGCTGAGAACCATGTGGATTTTGTCCATAAACACCGGAAGGCTCTTGAGAGTGAGCACGTCTCTGCTCATTTGCATGAGTGGATTGATCTAATTTTCGGGTAAGCTCTATATTATCCTAGCTTGACCACTTTCTTGTGTGCTTGCGCAGACATCCTAACGATAATTTGATGTAGGTTTGCATCATGCTAATACCATTGATGTTTTGTTCTATCTTCAATGGACACTCCATTTGGGTTGCATGTACAATAATATCTTAAGTTTGATAGATATTTACAACCATTCTACATTCGATTTTTTGCATTTTTATCAGCATCTTTTTGGCCATCAATAGGATTGGCTGCTTTCATATTTCTCAGCTCCTAATTAAGATAAAATGGTCTGGATGGATTATTCTTGCTTTTAGCTATTCATCAATGAGTTTCTTATCTGTAGCATCCATGGACCTTGAATAAGATGCCAGGCATCCTTTTTGTTAGTTACCCCAAGCAGCCAGTTCTGATGTTTTCTCATCACCATGTCCTACATACATCACCTTTTCATTGTTGACGACTCTGGTTTACAGATATAAACAGAGGGGCAAAGAAGCGATAATGGCAAACAATGTATTCTTCTACATCACATATGAGGGAACTGTTGACATTGACAAAATTACAGACCCAGTAAGTAGCTGGGTGCATAAGTTAGTCTACAGGTTTCCTAGTAGCCTTTTTGTCTACCTTTTCATGTTTTGCTCAAACGCTTTAGGTGGAACGGCGAGCTACACAAGATCAAATAGCTTACTTTGGACAAACACCATCTCAACTGTTGACTGTCCCTCACATGAAGAGGAAGCCATTGGCAGAGGTCTTACAACTACAGGTAATTTTATATTAGCATTATTACTGGGTTGAAGTGTTTTTGTTATTTAACCTGTTATAAGTTATGTTAGGGTTTTATAGGCTGATTGCTGGTGGAATCGGTGTGTCAATGGCAATTAAGCAACTTGTATTAAAAAGAGAAATTCCAGCAGTTGATTTGAGAAGTAGTTGCAACAAATTTAAATATATTTCTTCCATTGTATTTGCTAACCTATTCTGGTACCAGCTGATCATTACCCCGCTTCCTTGTTCCTGATTAGAACCATGATTTAGCCTATGGCAGTCAAATTTACCACAGGGTACGATATAAAGGATTGCATTGCTGGGAACCCACCAGCAGACCATCATAGTGACTCCATTAGAAGTGTTGAGGCACAGTTTTACCAGTGAAGCTGGTTTCCTCATGTGAATTGTTTATGGCGATGGGATTAGTCCTCTGTACTTCAGTTGATAGTTGGACTAGTATGCGCAGAGAACTGAGAAATAACAATATTGCTTGGGGTAATCCACTGAAACAAAGCAAGGATGGAAACCCAAAATTCTTTGTATGTGTGGGGTGGTAAACCAGGCCTGAATCTGATCTTTGTTGCATTTTGGTTTTAAAAAACCGACTTACAAGGAACTAGGTTCCATTGTAAATAAGAAATAGGCACCCAAATCTGAGTTGGCCAGGATTCGAAATTGGGTAGTGAAGATGTAAGTTGATTTCTTGAACATATGAACCTAGCCATCTAGGTAATTTCTATTGATATATTTCTATCAGGATGTATTGTCCATCGTCTCTATTTCCTCTGTCATTCTCATGATAACCACTTCTGGCAGTTCTTGTGCTGCGTAAGTAACTACTAAATATAGTATAGTAGTACTTACCGTCTAAATATAGTATAGCAGTTACTAAGCATTCTTGTACTGTCATACTTCATATTCATGGTATAATAGACTATGTGGCTCACTAGTATTTGGCGTGGCTTGACCCTTTAATTTACTGTGCAGACAATATTCCGAAATCCAAGTGAACTTAAATCCTATGTGCTTCCACATCCAGATCGTTGCAATGTTCCTGCCAGTGCTATGCTTGTATCAAATGACTCTATTGTAGTTGTAGATGTAAATGCCCCAGCAGCGCATGTGGCACTTCACCAATGGCAGCCTAATACTCCAGATGGTCAGGGAACACCTTTCCTTTTCCATCATGGTAGAAATTCCACAAATTCAACCAGTGGCGCACTCATGCGCATTTTCAAAGGATCTGCTAGTTCTGCAGAAGATTTTGGGTTCCCAAGGGCTATAGCATTTGCCGCTTCTGCAATCCGCAGTTCAGCAGTTGTTGCTGTGACATGTGACAAAGAGATTATTACTGGTGATTGCTTCTTCTCTACTTATCTTTATAGATTTCTTATTTCTTTTATTTATATTTGGTAACATGTGTGATCTACTTTGCTCCTCATTCGTTTTTCTCATTTCACTTTCTTTGTGATGTACTGTCCCAACTTCTGGAATTCATAGAAAGTGATGCTTTGTTCTGCTACAATATTCCAAATTCAAACTAAGTCTACAGAAGAAACAATCCAGGGTGAACGAGGGTCACTCTGCTAATATGGTTTGCTGTATCAATTGCAATTTTTCTTGTACTCAGCAACTCTCCCTCTACATAAATTAAAAGTTAGGTTTTCTTTTGAAGTCTTTTAGGCAGGCAGTCAACGACCTCATTACGCTTGAGCTATATAACTAGTTCTGAACTTGCTTGTTTTCTTGATGGAGTGTGCTATTGTAATTACAAGCTTATTTCATTAGTTGGTCGTCTTTCCATAAATCTTCTTATAAAACTAAAAATCATTTTGCTCAATAATAGGTGGCCACGTTGATGGTTCATTGAAGTTGATATCCCCAGATGGAGCGAAGACGATTGAAACTGCTTCTGGACATATTGCTCCAGTGACATGCCTTGCGCTGTCGCCTGATAGCAACTACCTTGTGACAGGGTCTAGAGATACCACGGTTATACTCTGGAGGATTCATCAGACAGGCTCCTCACATAAGAAAAATGCTCAAGATCCTCCACCGACTACGCCAACAACACCACGCAGTCCTCTCTCTGGCAGCACTAGCAGCCTCTCAGAAACAAAGAGACGTCGAGTTGAAGGTCCAATGCATGTAATGAGAGGACATCTTGGGGAAGTAACCTGCTGCTCTGTTAGTCCTGACTTGGGACTTGTTGCTTCCTCATCAAACGCAACAGGCGTTCTTCTACATTCCTTACGCACAGGCAGGCTGATAAGGAGGCTTGATGTCGCTGAGGCACATGCAATATGCTTATCTTCTCAAGGAATCATTTTGGTTTGGAATGAAACAAAGAAAACATTATCTACCTTCACTGTCAATGGACTCCCTATTGCTACCTCAGTTCTATTACCTTTCTCTGGACAAGTTAGTTGCATCGATGTTTCTACAGATGGCCATTTTGCTTTAATTGGAACATCTTTGTTCAACAACTACAAGTGTGATAGCAGCACTGAAACTGGAGATCATGAGCTTGGACCCAATGGCACTGATGATGTATCAAAAAATTCTGAACAATCTGAAACTGAGCAAGCTGTTCACATGCCTTCAATCTGCTTTGTTGATCTGCATAAACTGAAGGTTAGCATTAAAAAATTGGATTCACCTTCACTGTTGTCCTTTGTGCAATCCTCACCAGAAAACTTTTTTCTGACAGGTTTTTCATACTCTGAAGCTGGCAAAGGGCCAGGACATCACAGCAATTGCTCTGAACAAAGAGAACACAAATCTTCTAGTTTCTACTGCTGATAAACAGCTTATAGTCTTTACTGATCCCGCTGTAAGCATCCTCCATTCCTAATTAACAATGGATTATGCTTTTGATGAAATCAATATATTCACTATCCATGTTAACTAAATATTAAGTTCTGTAAAAACATTTTAATATAATTGTTAATATTGCCAATTGCATAAGATCACTCTGAACTTTCTTCCTAATAGAGTTGGTAATATTGTAGTTGAGCTTGAAGGTAGTGGATCAGATGCTGCGGCTTGGTTGGGAAGGTGATGGCCTACTTCAGTAATGACCCGTGGCAAAGATTCAATGTTCAGCTATCATTACCTGCTTCCAGATTTGCCATCTATTAGTTATCATAGACAGTAGTAAAGTAATGAAAGGGAAGGCGTGGGAGACGCCATTTGTACAGAAACGAGGAGGTTTACAATGGTTGTGCAAAGGCTAGGTCATTTAGATGAGGAAACCAACGGATTTGGTAGAGAACTAAGAGAAGTAGCCTTGTAAAAATCTCAGATGATTTTGTGAGTGGATAGTAATTGTACACAATTTTGCAGCCCATTTTTTTGTTGTCTTTAGTACAGTGCATTGCAGCACAGTCCATGTAGCACTTATGTATATCTGAAATGAATCTGTTGTGACTGTTGGTCCATCAGTGTTGAAAATATTGGGTTGAAGTTTTTCACTTCTTATGAACCTACAACATCACTGTTTTATATACAATTTGCTCTCTCAAGAGCGGACTAGTTCTCCGTCTCTCTTTACTATTTTAGAAATTCTGGAAAGCTATTAAATATATGATTGTTCACCATTTTTATCTGGACGAATTTATTGTCCATTTCGAGAGTTCGATGGACGGGACGAAAGTGAGGGCGGAACGTCCTCTTTTGTCCTTTCTATTTCAGGCTGAGTAGGATGTAGTAGGAATCAGTATTATTCACGTCGTGTGTCCTTTAATACAACTCAAATTTCAACTTCGGCCAGCCACAACTTTCAATTTTTCTTACAGGGACTGAACCTGGCTCTCACAGATCTACTACTACGAAAGTTTTACCAAACGTTTTAACAAAACATCTTCAGCTCCGGTGGAGGACTGGAGCTGCTAATAGAGACAAAAAAAACAGCAATGCTACGGTGCGAGCGTCCGATCAGACGGACACCGCCTAAAAAAAATACCACTCTGCAAGCTGTAAGCTACTAGCCGCACACATTCAGCTTCTGCTAGATCCTGTCTACTCCCATTCTCCCTAAAGTCCAACAGTTGAAGCATCGCTCGTCGATGGCAGTACCGCCCCACTCAGTCGAGGTTTGGACCCTGCTGACTCGCCGCGGCCCACCACCGCTCTCCTCTCCTCATCCGTGGCGGCACCCCAACCCTCATTCGCTTCCCGCCTCCTGCTGCTCCTCACCGTGGCCCTCGCCGCCGCCACGGCCTTCGTCATGCTCCGCCCACCCCTTACCGTCATGACCGTGGCATCCGCTGCCACACGGCCGCTCTCCAAGCTCCCCAAGCCCGTGGTGTTGCTCATATCCTCAGATGGCTTCCGCTTCGGGTACCGGTACAAGGTCCCTCTCCCGCACATCCACCACCTTATTGTCGGCGCCAGCACCGGCGTCCTCCTCATCACCTCCTCCTATCGCTAGAGACGGCAAAGGCGTCGTCGCCGTGCCGTACTTCGCGACCGCCTCGAGGCTCGCTAGACATGGTGGTCGCCGTCTACTAGTGTCGCGTCTAACATGTTGCAAGCCTATGTTTTAAGTGTTTCAGAGATATATTGCAAGTGTTTTATGTGGATGTTGCAAAAGTAGATCAAGATGTTACACATGTTGTAATTGTTGTACACGTATGTTGCAAGCGTATGTTCCAAATGTTTCATCTAGTTTTCCAGACATATGTTGCAAGCGTGTTTATTTGGATGTTGCAAGTGTTTTATCTGGATGTTGCATATGTTTTACAATGGTTTGCAAGTGTTTTTTATGTGTTTTTACAAGTGATGCATGTTAAGTGTTTCATCTATCTTCGAACGTATGTTGCAAATGTCACATCTAGATGTTGCAAAAGCAGATCGGGTGTTGTATCTCCCTTCTCCTTTCTGTTGCCTCGCCTCGGTGTATCCTCCTCCTCCCGGCACTGGCTGTGCATCCGCCGCCCCCTCTCCTATTCTCGATGTTGGTGACGTTCGAGACGGCGCGGGTCCTCGTGAGCACGCGAAACAGACTGCAGGCGCGGGCGTCAAACATCCTGTTCGTGCGGACGTCAGGCACAAGCCCGATAAAAAAACTACTACATCAGTGAGCTGTACCAAACGAGACATTTAAATTTGTTGCTTGGATTCTTTTATAAAACAATCTTTACGTAATATGTTCTACTTTGCTAGCAGCAGTGACAGCGCTCAGCCAGTCAAAAGTGTTATTCTAGCATTTGAATTTTATCAGTGTGTCATTTTTGCTTTCTAATGCATCTTTAAATTCTTCCAAGTTCCAATACATCTCTCTCTTCTACGCATTTCCTGTGCATCCCACCTTTTTTTTACCTCTCCTTAATTCCCGTGACCAGAAAGCGGCACTTAACATGGAACAGAGGGAGTACCAGTATACAGCGCAACTCGCTTGATACAAGACGTATCACACCAACCAGTCAGATGCCAGACCGGCAGACCCGTCAAGTCAACCTCTCTGGACTATAGTAACCGTGAGATAAAAATCGTTCGCTTGAACTTGTACACGAGGCATATCAGAAATCTCAAAACTCGGCTTGCTATGGCTGAACCTCATGTTCGGTCGCAAAACATCCTGGGATTAAGTGCTTGAAGCATCACTAATAACTGTGTATTGCTATCCTAAAGTCTCTGCCTCTGAAACACTGCAAGATTAACTTTTGGGATTTTCTACACTGCATCAAGGATATCAACAAATGCAGTGCAAATGAGATGTGATGGTTGCAATGGGGGAGCTTCTATTGAGTCCTCCTGATCTTCGAAAATGTGCCGGTCTCAGAAAAGTAAGTACTTTGAGTTCCGCCTCCAAGAAGGTTTCCTTGGGCCTGTGGATTTGACAGCTCTATTCCCTGGATTGCATAAGGGAAAATGAACATCAGACGAGAAATACTCCTATATCAGCATGGACCTTTTGTTAAATTAATGTTAGAAATTAAACAAAAGTGGGCTACCAAATGTGGATAAAGATGTTAAAATGCACCCAAACATAGTGTGACCTAGAGATTAACCTTAGGAGAAAATGCTCAAACAAAGTCATGCTACATAATATGGAGCCTATAAGATTACATAGCGCCTGACTTCGAATAAAAGGGAACATGCAAGCTATTCAGCATATAATTAATACAGTTAAATGACAGGTTAATTAGACCCTTCAAGGTATATACTGGCATAGGAGCTACCCAGTAGTGAACCAAGATGGAACATGAAAAAATGTTGCCCTATCTTTTCAGCGTGTGTCCTAAAACATGGGCAAATTAAACAGACCCTCAACAAGGCATGCAGACAACTCAAGAAACAAGTCTCACCTGAACTGGTGTAAATGCCAAACTGGATGTCAATCCTGAAGTTGCACCACTGCTACCGTAGCTCTTCTCCTTGAATCTGATATCAAAAGGCAGTATAGAATCAAAGTGAGGTTACAGCATAGGGCATTGTGAAAGACAAATATTCCAAATACAAGCAACATTGTGCAGTTAAGTAATACATTTATGAGAGAACACAATGATAAACACTATTAGGGTAATGGAACTGATTTGCAGTAGTTGTGCCTGATACACAACACACATGCAGTGTAACTTGCCTAAACGTGTGTAAAGAACCGATTGACAATTAGGAATGGGATGAGCAAAACATTGAAATATCAAGCTTTGTGAATCAGACTAAAATATGTAGAAATCTATTTTTGCTATTCTTATTGTGACCCATCATATCTTGCAATGGAGGACACATGTCATCAAGCGTGTTCGCTAATTTTTGCCTTGAAACTTAAAACAGAAAATTGGAAAGAACATTTTGCACTAGACTCCATCTCATGCAGGTGCTACGAAAACGGTATCCAAATATTATACTGGAGAAAGAACAAATATAACATACTTTTTGGCAACTTTAGCAGCAAGTTTGCTTTGTCCAGCTGAGACACGTAGCTTGCCACTCCCTGCCTGTCCAAGCATGCCATAACCTTCCCCCAAGCCATCACCTGATGATGAAAAAAATGTCATTATGTCACAAGGGTAATTGTTCTCCAGTGTAAGGCATGCAGAAATTCAAATTATACAACCAGACAGCATAAAATACGTCATAGCATACTGACCGAGTGAGCTCTCCTCTGGAATCCCAAACTGCATTCGATTTGCAAGCTTCATCATATCAGTCTGTGCATATCTGCAGAGGCAAGTTCGCATGGAAAAAAAAAATCACAACAATCGTTCAGCATATATTTCTGTTCTGGGAAACTTAGGCTAGCTTACCTTTCTTTCATTTTTCGAAGACGACGACCCCCTCTCTTCTTTTTAGGCTCGGAGTCCGGAACTGGAAGTGGCTTTGGAAGCTTGGCAGGAGGCGGTTCTTGCCACTTCTCGATCTTCTTACGAATTTCTTCTAGCAGGTTCCGTCCAGCTTTTCCAGTTGGATCACCTCTGATTGAATCAATCCTTGCCGCCAGAGTTGATTTTGCAGCAATAAGTCTACAGGCACGAGTCCTTAAAGCTGGAGGGGTGCTCTGAAATACTTCTGTTTGTTCAAGATAGCCAACACGAAACTGAGAAGTGGCAGTAGAAAATCCAGCGAGATTTTTCCTCTTTGCACCAAGTAACTGAACATTACAAGCAGGCATTTTTGCAAGTGCTCCCAGACCACCTGCAGTACCCATCAGTTTGGAGGCAACAGCACTGCCAACAATTGCAGAAAGGTTTGGTGCAATGTACCCCATTCTGCTCTCTACAAAATCAAGCACTTTCTTCTTTGCTGCATCAAGGGTAAGGGCTCTGTCACATGCTTCAATGGTTTTTTCCAAATTGTCTTCAGAAAGAGGCTTCCCACTTGTTGTTGATGCTGTCACTGAGACAACCATTATAATTGCAGAAGGTAAAAGCCCTTCCAGATCTACAAGTGTTAAATCCATCTCATTTCCAATCTTCTTGACAACACGGGCATAATCGATTGGGTGATGAACAAGGGACTCCAGTTCAGGAAACTTCAACCTATACTTGTCCCGTATGAAATTATGGATTATGATTATTTCATTCTCAATATCTACTGATAAAGCATTGCAGTCAACAATAAGCTGGTACTCTGGATCCTCTTCCAGGATGAAACCTTGACTAGAGAAGTCAGTGCCTTTCTGAAGTGCATCTTCAACTTTCTGCAAACAAACAATAAAGAGGTCGAATGTCAAAGATACTAACAGCGTCATATTTTTAGAACAAACCAGTGTGGCATTGAGTATAATCACAGATATTTATTCTCACTTAAAGACACATGCATCAATGCTTGGATAAGATATACCACCCTCTGTCCCAAACTATAGGTCGTTTTAGCTTTTCTAGATACATAGCTTTTGCTATGCATCTAGATATACGATATGTCTAGATACATAATAAAAGTGGTGTATCTAGAAAAGCCAAAACAACCTATAAAATGGAACAGAGAGAGTATGTTACAACAACTACAACAACAGAGCCTTTTAGTCCCAAGCAAGTTGGGGTAGGCTAGAGTTGAAACCCAACAGAGAGAGTATGCTAAAGATGTAAAAATTGTACAACCTAAGATGATTGTTCATTTTCCCTAGTGCAAAGCATTGTTCAACCTAATATCATTGTTCATTTTCCCTACAACCACATTAATGCAGTTTCTACTTCCGCAATAACTAAATGAAAGCCAAATTTATATATAATACCAAGCATGCTCAAGAAATTGGGGGCAGGTTTCATTACATACTTGCATTATATCATTATAGCGTTGTGTCTTTTGCAACTTTGAGACACTATCAAGATCATCATAATTAAGAGACTCAAGGTCAGGCATATCATCATCATCTTCTTCTTCTCTACCCGCTTCGTCAGCATTGTCTTCTTCCTGAAAATTTTTACAGCAGGTCAGCAAAAGACCTGGTAAAACCCCTTAAAAATACAATTACATGAAATAGAAACTAACTCACAGGATAGCCTTCATTGTCTGACAGTTCATCAAGATCCGCTAGAAAAGAATCAGCAAGGTTTGCCTGTAAAGTGGCACCATATGAGGACAAAAAATGGAATGGCAATGGAATAGGAAGTTCGGAATCACAAAACTGAATGTTAACTTGTCATAAGATACTGAACAGGAGAGGAAATGAACTCACCATGGTATCTGTGTAAGTTGTTCCAACAGCAGATAGAACTCCAAAACTAGGTTTAACAAGATGAGTTCAGTGTTGCTTCTGGTATCTCTGTCCTTCGCCTTCTTTATTGAATGGGACAGTCAGCTCAGCCTAATATGTAACAGCAGGTTAGAGCGTATCAGCTATTGTAACAAGGCACAACGCTAGTAAAGTAGGAGAATCACTGTAGAATATGTCACTACGAAGGTTAGAACAAACGAAAATCTGCTAGTGAATTCTAGTACTCATAATACATGTATCGAACCAAAAAAATCTATAGAATAGGAGTATATAGCAATTCAATCAAAACTTTATAATAAAGTATCGAATCAAACCCAGGGGGGTAATCTTTGCCAGAAAAACGAATAATACATGTCTACACTAATTTTTAGATCAGATCGGAATACGAATAGCCAAATAGCTTACGTTAGGGTTTGGGAAAGTAGCGGACCCAGTAAAGGGACATCGATGTACACATTACACCCGATAGGTTTTGCAAAAGAAGTTCGAAGTCAGTAGGTATCAAATAGCCAAATAGATTTAAGTTAGGGTTTGGGTGCTCGGTTTTGCACAACAGGAAGAGAAGAGAGGGATGAGAATACCTGGTGGTGCTCGTCGCCGGCGAAGAGACCGACGAAGTCTTCGGCACCTGGCGTAGGGCGGCGGCGGCGGAGGTTGTAGCCCACCCAGCCGTCGCAGAGAGAGAGAGAGAGAGAGAGAGAGAGAGAGAGAGAGACACACGCGGCACGCGGGTGCCCTGCCCGGGACGCGGGGTGGAACGACGGATGCGGGCATGCGGCGGACGGCGGTAGCCAGTCCGGGGTTTGTTCGGCCCAGTGGGGAGCGAACCCGCACGGGCCTTCTCCTGGACCGTTTTCTCACGCGTTTCTTTTGCATTTTCTCTTTTTTTTTCTCTCTCTCTCTCTCCTATATTTTATTTTATTTTTTATTAGATGGATGGAAATCTCGCGGGTTGCTATAGGATTTGTAAGGGTATTATTTGAGTGCTGATGCTCTCATATGATATTAGGACAAAGCATCCTGAGACGATGTGATTATAGAAACACGTGAATATGCAAGTGAGATAATGCCGTACAATTGCTTAACCAGCTACACTAATTCATCCGTGTCCGTCCGCTCCGGACACTCCAGACGGGCCGCTTGCATCAGCCCAATGACCACCCTTCTGTGTGCTCATCCTCTCGCCCCGAATTGTTTTAAAAAAAAAACTCACCTCATCGCAGCGCCACGATAGGTCTCCGCGAGACCGAGACCGCGCTCTCCACCGCGCCTCCCTCTCCACTGTGTCTTCGTTCCGCCAGGCGGCATCTCCACCGAGCCAGAGCGTAGCAGCCCGTCTTGCTCCCTCTCCACCATGCCTCTCGCCTGCCGCGGCCTTCTAGAGCGCATGGACCCGCCGCGGCCTTCTCCACTGGACCTGTCGTGGCCTTCTCCACTTGAGTGGTGAGCTCCGCGCCACCGGTGAACTCCACGCACCGATGAGTCTCCATTTTGAAATAGCAAGGAGTGCTGAAAACGCATGTTGCAAACATATGTTTCAAGTGCTTTAGATGTATGTTGCAAGTATTTTATGCGGATGTTGCAAAAGTTTTTTTTAAGAAACGGATGTTGCAAAAGTAGATCAAGATGTTGCATATGTTGCAAGTGTTTCAGAGGCATGTTGCAAGCATTTGTTCAAAATGTTTCATCTATTTCAAACGTATGTTGCAAGCGTTTCGATTTGGATGTTGCATATGTTTCACACATATATGTCGCAAGAGTATGTTCGAAATATTTCAACCGTTTCAGTGTTATGTTGTAATAAGTGTTTTCATGCTGCAAGCTGCAAGTGTTTTATCTAGATGTTACATATGTTTCACACATATTTCAAGTATATGTTCCAAATGTTTCATTTGCTTCAAACGTATGTTGCATCCAAGTGTTTCATATGCAGAGGTAGAGAGTCATGAGACACGGCCCGGGTGTCGAGGAATGGGAGCCAGCGGTCGAGGTGTGCGATGCACCTGGGTTGTGTGGACGGGGGGCGCTCGTCAGTCGTCCTCATCCCTGCTCCTGGGTCCTACCTGTGCGGAGAGAGGAGGGGATTCAGAGGGAAGGAACGTGCAAGGGCGGCGGCGGGCACGGGGAGGAGGCGTGAAGTCCAGACTCACGAAGAGAGATGAGAGGGTAAGGAGGAAGGAGCGGCAGGTGCGGCGTTTCCGCGGACGTCCGGACGCGCGCTTCTGTCCGGACATCCGGACGCTAGTATCTCCTAATCAGGTATCATGCTAAATGCAGGAGGCATTTAAGTAAAACCCCCTAACCTTGTCTTTGGTTTTCTCGATTGGCATGTGTTTGTGGCAAAAACCATCGATCAAACACTCGCACACCCCCGCTCATTCCACAACGCCCATAAAACTAGAACAATTAGTGACTGCACTGCCTTAACAAGGACCCCGGTACTACATCCGACAGTGTGCCACAAATGTGATACGGAATGTAAAATTGATTCAACGTTCAATGCTTGGTAGGCAGCTAATATGTCATCCCAAAAACTTCTTCAGGCACCTACAACGCACAAGTAGATCGATAGTTGACTCATCGACTATATTTGATATAGTAAAGGGCAAGCATGCTGGTTAGCCATCCATGGGACTCGAGTTGGTCCATTGTCCATAGATTAGATTACAGCGAGGCAAAAAAAAAAGATGCAATTTGGATCTATCTGTATCTTTTAGATTGTATATATTTTTCATCAAATATTGCGTTTGTCGATCAAGCCAATGAATTGGACGAAGTAATCTTATTGACCAGAGCACCCACCTTAAACGGTGAACTTCTAAGTTTGCACATATGGGTTAAGTTAGACCTCTTGCGATTTACTTTAAATTCGACAAATTCAGTGTTAAAACCTTTGTTTGGATGTACTCGTATATCTACCCACAAACAATGCAATTATCTGCTTCGATTCGATCGTACCGTTCTGGTTTTCCTCTTGCATCCAGTTATCTTGTTCGATCGTTCGTACCGTTCTGGTTTTCTTCTTGCTATTAATCGCAAAGAACGAGGCGCCAATTATCTCCACAGAAAAAAAGAACACCTCGATCAGCTATCCGGTAGCTCATGAAATTCTCCAGCACCGCCTGTGCGGCTGTGCCATGCCCATGCCATCGTGTAGGAATCGTTCGAATTTCAGCCTATGTATAGGTTCGTATCATTTTCGCATCCGTTCGGGAGAGATAGAAAGGCCATCTCCATATCGTGCCAGCCCCATGCACCTCTCGCCTTCCTCCTGCCTGCCTGGTGAGACCGTCGAAGCTGAGATAGCGACAGTGCCGGCCGCGTCCGCCACTAGCTAGCCGGCTGGCCTGGGATTCGCCGATCCGTCGTTCTTTCGTCCCCCGCCAAGAGAAAAACAGATACGCCAGCCGAGCCATTTCCTTCCATGCGCTCGGATAAAGCCCGCCCGGCCCCGTCACGAAACGCGCGCTCTCGTCCAAGAGTTGTTTTGCCGGCCCCGTCGTTCACGAACGAAACGTGCGCCCACGAAACGCCTAGAAAACTTGTGGCCACGGACGCGGAGGCGCCGGCAGCCGGGCACGGGCACGGGCGCCGCCGTGGCAGTACGGCCAGGAGGTATGCGATGCGACGGGCGGGAGCGTCTCCGCGCCGCGCGCGGATCCGAGTGGATTGATTCATCAGTCCGGCTCAAGGCGCGGTGGACGATTAATCCATCAGTCCGGCAGGGTCCATCGTTCATTGCAGACTGCAGTTGGAGCGTAGCTAGCCGGGCAGCCGTACAATATTCCGGAGCGAGGACTTAGGACGCCGTGCCATGATACGATACTTTTTAGCGTGGCTTTTGAAGCGAACGAACAGCTCCAGGCCACCACGTTTTGGGGTTTCCAGATACTCCCACCGTCCCTTAAAAAAAAAGAGTCGCTATGAGAATTGTGTTTGTTAAACTTTCTCAACTATGATTAAATTTATATAAAATAATACGTGCAACATTTATATCTTCAAATAAGTTTATTATAAAAGTATATTCAACGATCTATCTAATGGTACTCGTTATAAAAAAATATTAATATTTTATTAAATATATTTGGTCAAAATTAAAAGCTGTTGATTTTTTGGGAAACGAGAACGACTCTTTTCTACGGACAGAGTGAGTAAGCTTCAGAGTCCTTATCTGATCCCAGCATATGTTCCACAATTGTTTTTATAAAGTTCTTTTTATCTGAAGCTGTATAGCAAATAGGTTTAGCAGCTGTACTTAATAATCGTACATAATTCAAGCCGATGTTCTTTTATTTATGCCAGAATATAAATATAATCAACCGACAATAGAGTCTCCAGTACCGTCTCTCGCCTGTCCGTACACCTAAATAGGCAAAAGCTGCTTTGCTCTTTCATCTTTGTGTTGTTTACCTGGCCGTTTACTATTCTCTCCCAGGTCCCAGCAATGGCGCTCCTCCGGGACCCCTCCGTACGACGACGGACCAAGGTGAAGGTAGCTCTCCTCTCTGTAGCCTGTTCATCTCATGCCACCGATTGCACGCTTGGACGCTTGCGAATTGCGATTACATGCACGCTCACGCGCTCCTCGCTCGATTCTCCTCAATCTTCATCATCCATCCCATCATGTGCAGGCACGTCGCCACGGCTTCATTCCGCGCATCAACTGTTGAGCGATTCACGACGACCATGCAGAGATGATCCATTGATCCTCGGTCGCCTCCTCGGCCGGCAAGGTTTTTCTTTTTCCTTTGTTTTCAACGTTTCCTGCTACCACATGGATTGGATGAAACCTATTTACTACCTGTCCATTGCTCGTCGAATTATTGCCTGAGTTCGACTTAAGTACTAGATCTTTGTGGACGATGTTATATATCGAAGTTGTGGTAGCTGCAATTTGGCCATAGAATAAACGGCACATGCACATGCATGCGCACGGGCCATGATATGGTGTTTGCGAGGGCCCTACAGTTGTGGGGCTTAACCAGAAGATCCGGTTAGGAGGCGTTTAGCGAGCGCTGGGATGGGAATATCCGTCCCCAGGAGAATATCCACTCCCTATATCCTCTCTATCATTAGCTTGCGACTGGCCGCCAGCAAAATCTGCCGGATGCATGGGCAAAATTAGTAGGTGCTTCAACCGGTGTGCGTAAGGAGCAGCAGCAGCAAGCCTCCTTTGCTTGATCGCCTCGCGCCAAGCACCGACTAGTAGTAGCTCAAAAGCTCGTACAACAGTGCAGGCTACTACTAGTTGTTACCTGTTGACGTACCACCGTAGGCTCATAGCAGAATTCATACAACAGTGCAGGATACTTCTACTCCTTACCTGTTTATGTACCACCGTAAGCTCGGTGTAGACGGTCAGTGTAAACCAAACGTACAAGAATCCTTTTTTTTTTTTTCACCTCAAAACGTACAAGAATCCTATTGGGTCACTTTGTTTTCAGAGGTTTGCAGAGCTGGTGATAGTGATATAAAAAAAAGGTTTGACAATCTTAACACAAGAAGAAGACCATGGTACTCCTAATAATAAATAAATAAACAAATAAAACAATCGTGGGTGTGACCTCACCGGGGAACGACCTGAACCAGAAGAGGTAAATAATAAATAAATAAACAAATAAAACAATCGTGGGTGTGACCTCACCGGGGAACGACCTGAACCAGAAGAGGTAAAAGGTAAAAAAAAAAACGCCCCGGCTCACCACGGCCAGGCAAAGGCTCTTGTGGATTTCTCTTTCCCTATAAGACACGGAACTCCTCGGAAGCCACGGCCGAGGCCGCGCCCCAGAAAGCTGTCCTCCGCCTGCCGCCTCCCTCACGGCTCCGCGCAGCCAGGAACAGCTCTGCCGTTCCCTTGGAAAAACTTCAACGACAGCGGCGGCTCTGGCACTTCTCCTAGCTTCAAGGTGGTACGACCGCAATCCTCTCGTCCCGTGTTCTTGCTCTTCCTCCGTTCCTTTAAATTACATGAGCATGCTTTCAGTTACTACTTTGTGAGACGAGCGCTAACGGATCGCCGGTCCCTCGCTAGTTTGGCAGCAACCTGATTTGATTTCATTTGTATCCCAACCTTTTCTATTCTTCTTCTTTTTTTCCTGATGAAGAGCGCGATCCTTTGGTATGTTGCTCTCCGTACCTTCCCTCTCGCTTTGACGCTTTTGATCCTTTCTTTCCCTCCCTGAGTTGCATATCTGAACGAATTTTCCTTGCCTTCTCTGCCTATGGAGTTCAGCCACCAGCTGTTCGTTTAATCCATTGTGAAAAGCACGTTCCTTTCCCTTTTGTTTGGCGATTACCGTAGGGACCAGACCGGATTAAATCGCAGTGTTGCCTTTGATGTTCATGTACTCCGTAGATGTTTGACATAAGTTTTGCCTCTTGTTGACTTGTTGACATTCTTTGCCGATTTACACTAAGTTCCTGCTGTCTATCAGAGGAATTTAATACTGCTAAGGTATTTACAGATAAGTGTTTAGATATACGGATATACCTCGCAAAACTATATTTGGATATATTGGTTGTTTTATATACTATACTTATCTGATGGGGATTGTTTGATAGTATCACTAGTGTTTGGTTACGCCTTCCCTATGCAATTAGGAGTATGTCTATTACTCTATTTTGGTGGAGGATTAATTTTAGCTGTATGTGTGTGCTTATGCTTATGTCAAGGGGTGGTGTTGAATTAACTAAATCGATAATTAGAACTGTTCTGCAATAATAGTTTAGAACTCATTGTCGATGCGATAACACCCCACCTAATTCGTATTAAAATTTAAGTATTTATGCTAGCTTTTGGTGTCAAAATGATAGCCAGTTTATTTTCCTTATTGTCATGGGATTACTTAGTATTACAAAACGCAATTGTCAGCTCTTATATATGGTCTTGTGGATGGTTCTGATGTCGGCTCTATTTGACCTTTTCAGGCAGCACCGACACCGCCAAGGCAATTTCATAGCATAGGCCGAATGAGGCTCAAAAGCTTGACACATGTTTAACAACATTTAGCTTTTAGTTGTCACAATTTTAGCATTCATTCATGGGCTCCTCAAGTCATCAGAAAAGCAAAATGCATAGCAGAAAGCCCTTGGGAATTCAACTTTTTGAGTGTGTCCGGGGGAGCCCCATCTCCTTCAGATCATGCCAGGCTCTTGTACTAGTACTGACGTTCTTATCATACGCCAGCTACCATGCCACTAGAAAAACTACAAGCATTGTTAAGAGTGTTCTTGATCCTAAGACAAACCTAGGTATGTTGCATTGGCCCAGTCATCTCTATCTTCAAAATTTGAAAGGTGCAGAGAGCAATACGACTCTCTCAAGCGGTTGGGCTCCGTTCAACGCTGAAGATGGCACTGCATTGCTTGGCGAGATTGACTTGGCTTTTCTTGGTGTATATGCAATTGGCATGTTCTTTGCTGGCCATTTGGGCGATAGGGTGGATCTGAGGATCCTGCTGACTATTGGAATGATAGGAACTGGATTGTTCACCGCCGCCTTTGGAGCCGGCTACTGGTTCGATGTACACAACTTCTACTACTTTCTGGGCATGCAGATGATGTCTGGCCTGTTTCAGTCATCTGGATGGCCTTCAGTGGTTGCAGTAGTTGGCAACTGGTTTGGGAAGAGCAAGAGGGGACTGATAATGGGAATATGGAATGCTCACACATCTGTAGGAAACATATCTGGCTCTCTGATTGCTGCTGCCATGCTGAAGTATGGATGGTGCTGGTCCTTTGCAGTGCCCGGTATCATGATCGCACTGGTTGGGCTCACGGTGTTCCTCTTCTTGCCTGTTGGGCCTGATGTGATTGGAATCCAGGAGGATCTCCATTTGAAGGACTATGAGAAGAGTGACATGGACACTCCCTTGTTGGAACGATGCTCACCAGATGTAAAAGAAAAGGCAGTTGGATTTATTGAGGCGTGGAGAATTCCTGGTGTAGCTCCTTTTGCCCTCTGCCTTTTCTTCTGCAAGCTTGTGGCCTATACCTTCCTGTATTGGCTTCCCTTTTATATCAGCCACACAGGTTTGTCAAGTCATATTTTTGCAGTTACCACAGCCTCTCTTTTTTTTTTTGGCTACGAAATGAACCCTTATTGAACACTGTGATAATCAGAAAGCATGTTTTGGTGTTTAGAGTTAGAAACCTTATGATATGATGGCCATAACTAGTTAGAATGAGTGCTTGAGATATTATATACTAGTGTCGAAGCAAATTAGCAATTGAAATTGTAAGCCCTTTGTGATGTGCAAATCAAACTTTATGACCCTTTATATATGTTGACAAGCACTTCGTAGAATTGGAGCTGACTTTTCTAAACATCATAGCATTCCAGTTGCACTGGGTTCCACACTTCCACTGAAATGCAGTCTGCAACCATGGTGCTCTTTGACTTACTAGTACAGGGGAGGGGGGAAAGTAATTCTTGGCATGTTTCTGATTTCTCACTCTGCTTAGGTACTGTTAGGTATTTGATTGAAACAAACCATGAAAGAAAGCGACATATGATGTGAGTGCTACTGGCAAGTGTGTGGCAATATGCTGCTGCGTGAACAATTTGAGACTGTGTTTCAATGTGCATAGTTGTTTTTTTAGGCTATGAAAGATAAAGAATCTATTAACTAATTCTGAAATAACTCAGTGCCATGCCATAGATGGATACACGATACAAAAATTAAAAGGTTTTGACTTTTTACTGCATCGTATTTATACTAACGTCAATACTATGTCTGTTTCTGTTTTCAGCTATCGGTGGACAATACTTGTCAGACTCCGAAGCCGGGGTACTGTCAACTCTGTTCGACGTGGGTGGCGTTGTTGGCGGCATCCTCGCCGGCCACATCTCCGACCACCTGGACGCCCGGGCGCTGACGGCCGCGAGCTTTACCTTCTCCGCGATACCGGCGCTCTTCTTTTACCGCATCTATGGGAACGTCTCGCTGGCGTGGAACATCGCGCTCATGTTCGTCACCGGGATGCTGGTGAACGGGCCCTACGCGCTGATCACGACGGCCGTGTCCGCGGACCTCGGCACGCACAGCTCCCTCAACGGCAACTCCCGCGCGCTGGCCACCGTGACGGCGATCATCGACGGCACGGGGTCGATCGGCGCCGCCGTCGGCCCGCTGCTGACGGGGTACATCTCCGCCAGGAGCTGGAGCGCCGTGTTCACGATGCTGATGGCGTCGGCGCTCGTCGCGGGGCTGCTGCTGTCGAGGCTGGTGGTGGCGGAGGTGGCCGCCAGGATGGAGTCCCGGAGGACGCCCGCCCCCGCTCCTAGCGACCTGCCCGTGTCCTCCATGGAAGAACCGTAAATCGCTTCTGCTGGCTGCGCCGGCTGTGGTCTCGTGGTGACGTGGAATGGTGGCGGGAGAGCACACCACCTGTGATTTTAGGCCTGAGGGGAGCAGTGATTTTAGGCCTCAGGGGAGCAGGCGCGGTTCTGGGATCTTGCTCCTGGTGTGCCGTGCTTCACTGCTTCTTGTTCGTCATGGTATATATGTATATGGAATGCGTTATGGTTGCCGTCTTGCCGACGAGGAGAATGTACATCGCGGGGCGTTTCTATCAGTGCTCTGTTGGGAGCTGTACCTACTGCAATTCCACTAGCTATAGTCAGACAACCTGTATTAGCGAAAGCAAATCCAAGAATGAGAGTACACAAGGTTCCACAACTAAGCATGTACTAGCTGCGAAATGTCCTGCGGCGGTACGTGTTTGTCGATCTAGATTGGGAACGTTGAATGTGATCCTGGAGATCGTACAGACAGAGCTCTCTTGAAGACCACCCACCCTTAACCCTTTGCTTGTGCTAGTCTTTAGACTTCGGGAACTCTCACACATTGATACCTGAGGGTCTGTATCTAATAGATATTAGATTAAGGCTAATAATACAGTCGGCTGCTGACTCAGTCTACTTCATAGTCCATCTATATAGTAGTTACATCTTCACTATTAATACATGACTCATTTGTCTCTCTCACATAGTTTTTTTTTGTTCTTGTGTTTCAGCCGGCTGTAAGCTTATAATCCATTTTTCCTCTTTCTCCTTCCCTCTCTCCTTCACTTCAGCATTCAGCATGCTTACAACCCCTTATTATACTTGCTCTTATGTATTTGGGCGTTGCTAGCGGCCGCATGCGTAGGCAGCGGAATTTCCGCCCGCACACTCTCGCCAGCACGCCTCTCGCACCGCACAACTTCTGTTTCCTCATCTTATCTTCTTCCTCACGCCTGCTGCTCCTCACCCCGCCAAGTTCCGGCGACACCTCCCTCAACTCCCTCTAGATCCGGCGACGCCGCCCCCGACTCCACCACCTCCCACCGCCCCGGCGGCGCAGGCGGTAGGGTCTCGCCGGAGCTTCGCGGCTGCGGCCACGGCCGTGGAGCTCCGCCAAGACCCTACTGATGCTAGACTGTTGGATCACGAACCTTATCAATAATGACTCGAGAACATAAACCTTCTTTACCTCTTCTCTGGCAATGGACGACTTTATCGATCCAATGGCAAGTTTTACATCTAGCCCTTACTAGACAAGGGCGCCAAATTCGGCTCTCAAACCTTTTGTCGGATTCATAAACCCGGGGTCCCTCGCGGACCGGCTTTCCAACAAAGGCTCGGCCCAAGCAGACAAACACGCAACTCGTGGGCCGGCCTAAGTATCTGAACGATAGGCCAGAAGGGCAATCCAATCACCGACCGGAAGGTCTGGCCAAGGAGGAACGACACCTGCCTTTCGACTCCGGCCCACCTCTCCGACCGGAGCGCTTGCTTCGGTCTCCAGCACGCCTCCGGACGGTCTCTCCGACCGGAAGACCCGGCAAAGCACTACCTCCGACTCTGACCCCACATCTCCAACCGGGGTATGCAAAGACCCTGCTCACTGCTCTTCTCCGACTGGCGCAACCAGAGTCGACTGGGACCAACCGACCGGGGACGCCCGCTTGGAAAAGACCAGGGAACGGACAGAGAAAGCAAGGCAAGACACACAAGTCAAACCAAGATATCTGGGACCGTACCATGTACACCTACAGGAACAGTACTCTGCAACCGCCCTGACACAAACAGTGTTGTAGGCGCCGATATTTTCCCTACAGTATTGTGGGCGCCATTAAACTCCCATACGGTAAGGCCCCCCACGTGCCTCTGGGCATCGACAGTGTTGTGGGCGTCGACATTTACCGTACCAAATGAACATGGTGAACTCCTCACATGCCTCAGGACATCAACAGTACAGCAGGTACCGACATCTGCCATACCCGAACAAAACGACGCAGCCTCCCACATGCATCTGACATCCAACAGTGTTGTGGGCGCCTACCATCATCTTGTACCCACCGGCGTGGGCAACAAGACTTAGAAGCATACGTACTCTCTCCCTCTCACTTATAAGGCCATTCCCTTCATCTATAAAAGGAGATACGCTCTCTCCCAACATTTAGAGGATTCCAGATTCATTAGATCGACCAAGTTCACTAGCACACAACCACAGAACCGCCAGGTTCGCACCACAAGCACACGCTTGAACACTTAGCTCACAGCGGAGCTCCTGTCACTCTCAGCCTTTCCGACCGGAGCCCGGCCGGACCTCTTGTACCCCCTTCTTTCTCCTTCTTGTTTGTAACCCCACTGCAAACTTCGAGCACCTGCGCTTAGGAATAAAGTCACCGATCGACTCAAACTGGACGTAGGGCACGTTGCCTGAACCAGTATAAACCCCGCGTCATTGAGTGCTAGGCCACCTCCGATCACAACGTACGGCAAAACTACAAATATTTAGTTGTTGGTCACTTTCTGCACCGACACCCTTAATCTCTTCTAAGTCAACCAGAGTCAACCTTGGTCAAACAGGACAGTTGACCTAGCTAAATTCTCAAAATTATCATTGGAGAAGCGATCCCCGACTCTTAGATGGTTTCCACGAACTTTGTAAGGAGTGTCAAAGGCCCTAATATCAATCTCTCCTCTTCCAAATCCAATATCCCAAAATCTGTGTTCTGTCAGACCGTCCAGACCACTGAGTCAGCATAATCAATTTAGATGAGCCGTTCGCCTCTCCTCCCACTTGGCCCTATTTGTCAGCATGAAATGGAGATTCTCAATAGCTGGTTCAGCTTCCCCTCTCACCCACTCATTCACTCATCCCCCCCTCTCTCCAAAATGGAGGAAGCAAGAATTAGAGAGAGAAAGGAAAGGAAAGAGGAGAAAGAAGAAGATCAAGGAAGACTCAGCATCACCATCTCAAAAAGCACATGGAGATCATCACCCCCATCTTCATCCTTGGGTGAGCTTAAGAAATCTCCTTCTCTTTTCTTCCCAAATGTTAACCCAAACCCCAAAAGTTGTATGAATGCAACAAACTCTTTACATCCCATGATTCATCAATTTATTTTAGAAAAAAAAATCAAGTTATGCACTATGGGTTAGCAAAAATTTAGAAAATGGAGAGTAAGTGCTTTGCTTTTATTTCTCCAGTCACAACCAAAATTCAAAAAAAAAGGAGAGATTTTTTTGAGAAACTCCCCAGAGAGAGAGAGAGAGATGCCATAAACTCCTAATGATCATCACCGTCGTGCTAAATTGGCCCAAAACGCATCCTCGTTTTCCTTTTGTTTGGCAGACAAAAAGCTTGATTTGCTGCTGTTGGGTGTTGGTCCAAAGGGCTGCAATCGGATAAGCTGTACATTCTAAGCCCAGCTGTATACTTGGGCTCTTTCCAGGCCCTCGCGTGACATTGCGTTAGTCGTGCCATTCTTTGAATTTTCTCTTTTTTGCAACCAATGGGCCTGGAATTCTTTTTTTGCGCTTGTGATCACACGATACGCAATGGAGGTATCCAATCACTCATTTGTTGCTAAAAAAAATCTAATGACTCATTTTCTTCACGCGTTGACGCGAGCCACACTGTGAAAAAGCAGTCCACTGTCGTCACGACTAGACGACGGAGAGACGACACGGCATAATGATGCACTGTCGTGGCCTCGTCACTGCGCCGGCGATGCAGCAGAGGCCAACGCAACGAACAGCCTTGTTCATGAAGCCCGGCACGAATATGTTCCTGCATCAGATGCGGAGATGCCCACGGCAAAGCACGTAGCTGGACACGCATTACCCATAACTTTTTTTTGAGGGGGGTGTTCTTTACGGCGAGATATTTGTTCCCCCTCCTTGTTTATTTATGTATTATAACCGCAGATCGATTTCGTGCTTGATAATCCTATCTCGGCGCGGGCGAAAGCAACTGGTCGAGGAGCCGCATTGCCAATATGATATCCAGCAACGCAGGCGCTAGAAATGTGCTTTGCGATAGATCTCATCCGTCATCAGAGGTCCTCCATGCATGCTCCTGCTAGCTGCTTCGAACTGTATCGATCAAAATACTGTGACGATGACTCCAGACGCCGGGCACCGGGCATGGCAGCGTGGCGGCCCATGCCTCGCATTGGGTTTCCACATGAATTGGACGCCGTGCCAACACGCAGAGCAGAGCAGTGCAGTACTGAGCACTGTTCCAGCTGCTCCTACTGGCTGGTACAGTACTACTGGGCTACTGGGCTACGTTAAATATAGCTAATTGCTACTTACCTGGTCCAAACAATTGGGAATTTTAAGTCGGACATCCCCGCAAAATTAGAAAAAAAAATCGCTCGCCGCCCTCGTGCTTTTAGTCGTGTGCCCCTAATGCCTGGCTGGTCAAACAATTGGGAATTCGGACATCCCCGCAAAGCGAAAGCTCGCCGCCCTCGTGCAGTCGTGTGCCCCGCCTGCTCCAACGGGGTTAGCCTGATCGACCTGGCTCTCCCGATCGCCATCGGCCGCCGTCCCCCGTCCTCATCTGCAAGTAGTGGCGCACGTACGCGCGCGTCCGGCTCCGCGGATCAGACCCGCAGCAGCGCCAGCGCAGCCACTTGCACGCGCGCGGGCGTTCCGCCCTTATCCTGTTGCGCGAGCGCGATCCGGACCAGCCGCCTGGCCGGGTGGTAAAAACCGATGGCGAGGCCGCGAGAGCGAGCGAGCAAATTGATGGGTGGTGGATGGACGGAAAAGGATGAGCGCCGGAGCCCGGATCACACGAGCAGCGGAGCGGGGCGTTTTCACCCAAGGAAAATGGCCGGCCGACGGAAACCACCGCAACTCGCAAGATGCCAAACGCCTCCGCACCGGCTCCACGTTCTCATCACGACAGGAGAGCTAGCAGGACGAGGGCAGTCCCATTTCGATACACAGAAACCACGGTCTCAATGAATAGTTTTTATAGTATAATTTTTTATTTAATCACATACATTTTCTTTTCATTCTCTATCAATCACATCT